TTAAATAAAAAGCATGATTATTTACAAAAGAAATTCTAAAAAGGAGTTAATAATAACAAACAATTTTAAGCAATATTACTTATGCATGATTACTTACAAAATAGCAGTGACAATTGCGGAAAGGCTACCTTTTAAAATTTGTTTTATTATTTAAACAAGAATTCATTATTATTACAACTTCACTATAAAAAAAAACAGCACTTGTCATTGCTTTTCTAAATAACTTAAATGAAATTAAAAAAAAAGACTTCAATAAAAGCTTCACTTTCAAAAGTGTCAAAAAACTTCTTTTGGTTTTGCACAGTAATTAAGACAAGTAAGAAGATAGGAAGTTCAGTAAAAAGGCTGTTAACTAAGTAAGCTTCTACGCATGACTCCAGGTGTGGAGGACTTGTTATGTCAGGTCTTATAGTTGAAAAAATAAATTTGGGTTGCATGTTCAAAGACATGTATCCTCAATACATTTATATTATACTTCAATGAAAATAAACAGAAAAGCATAGAACAATACTGATAAAAGACAAAGGCATTTATATTAAATAATAATCACTTTTCATTTTGAGAGGTTAAGTGATGCAAAATTTGTGATAAAATTTTCACAAAGTAGTAAGAAAATTAAATAGTTTGTGCCAAATAATAAATTCACATTAAATTTGTGTAAATTTAGTTTGAATAAAGTTGTCTTCCTTTGACTGCTCTTGATGAGACTTGAAGTTCGGGAGATGATTTTGTTGTTGAAAAGTTCTTTGCTTTGTTTGAATGAAATTGCAATGTTTATTCACTAGCAAGAATGATTATGAGCTGCTGGGTGAATGAATTGACGAGTGAGTGAAAATTCTGAAAGTTTGTTATATGTTCACAAGTAACTTTGAAAACTTCAGATGATGTGACATAGGTTCGTTGTAACAAATAATCTAAAGTTACAGTGCTCATGATATTTATTGGTACTATGCTACAAAATGTGGCACAAGACCAAGATGGGGGATTGGGGAAAAAGACGATCTTCATCTGTCTTAACTTTAAACTTAGCTAGCCACAAACACTGACCTAAACAGACAAACAATACTCCTAACACCAAAACAACATATTCTTACCTACCTTTCTTACTACACACACCATAATACCTCATTGTCTCTATGAAAATTCTAAATAGTCCCCATATGTACAATTCATTGTCTGTGGGGGGAGGGGAATAAAACAACAATTTAAAAAATCCCCAATGAGTATGTACAATATGCAACAAAATTATTTACAAGAAACTAAACAAAATAATGTTAGTAATAAAACCCACCACAATCCTAAAATGTGGCAGAAACATCAATTAACTGGACGAAATTGATGTGGGATTATAATAGTATAAAATATTCATTCATCCCAAGAACTCACACAGATACGCACACATTCAGACAAAACAACAAATACGAAAACACACGCGAAACGAAAGGCACACCGCATCTAACAGAGAAATGACACAGAATCCCTTCTGGCGTGTTGTCCAAATCACGACTCTCATAAAACCTAGCAAGCAAAAGAACAAATATTGTTCAGTCTTCGTCAACAGCGGTGCCACATTACTACAAACAGAAGAGGCCTCAAAGACAAAGAACTTTCCCTGCAGCATGCGAACCAGAAGGCCTTCAATGAATTTGCACAATGGCGTTACCACCCTGCAGTGAAAGGCATGACCAATGGTCTCGACTTCCTCATCACAGTGTCAGCGGTTTGGAGATTTCTCCAAGCCTGCTGAACAGTCTTTTGACGACCCAGAGGCCCCACGAATCATCAGCCAGGTGTGAGATGCCTCAACATTATTGAGACATTTCAACCCAGGCACCCAAGGCCATATTGAGCGAGCCTCCTGCTTCGTAAGTCAAGCTCGTCAATCAGCTCATCACAAATGGACCCCCTGACTAACACCTGATATAATGCCCTTAGAGACAACGCCTGGAGGTTGGAGAGGCCATCCAATGCTCATAAAAGACCTTTTTAGAGCAAGACGACATTCTTGGTAGATACATACATACATATATATATATATATATATATATATATATATATATATATATATATATATATATAAATGTGATGTAATAATAAGGGATGGGAAGTTCTTATGGTCGTCTTCCTTCCAGAAGGCGCCCTTATCCGATTTGCGACACATTCGATCTAGGAACCCGATGCGAAGCATATATTGAAGAATCTTAATGCTAGGCATACCCAGATCGCCTTCAGATAGATGAAGGCAACAGATCTCCTAAGATATCCTAGCGGCCTTGCCTCCCCACAAGAAAGAGAACCTTACTAATGACATTAGTGTGGCATACGGAAGTGGAAGTACAATGAGTTTGTAAAGGAGAATCGGGTAGATGTGTGAAACACATACTTCCGCCCTCCCCTTCAAGGACAGATTCCTCCGAGACCACAGATTAATTGCGATCTCGACCTTCCTTTGTACCTCCGACCAATTCATATCCAGCTGGATATCAGGACCGAACTAGACAAAGAGTATCTTGACCGGACCATCCCTTCTATGCACCCAACCGTAAGCCAATAGACTTATCGCGGTTGATCTTGGCTCCTGTCACCATCTCATAACCACTGATTTCTTTGTTGACTTCATTAATCGAGGCTCTGCTCGACACAAGAACCGAAACGTCATCAGCATAGGAAGAATACCTGGCCGAGGTGGTAGCACCAAGTAGGGAAATTCTGTGTAGGACCGGATTCGCCTTTAACTTTCGAAGGAAAGGTTCCAACGCAAGAACGTAAAGCATAGGCAAAAGCAGACAACCTTGAAGAATGGAGCGAGACAATACAAAAGGTTCCGATCTTACCCCATTCACTTCAACCAGAGCACAGGGAGTTGCATACAGAAGTCGGATCCAGGTGCGAAAGTCCGGCCCGAAACCGGCTGCTGAAAGGACAGCCTCCAGGAATTGATGGTCAACCCTATTGAAGGCCTTGGACCTAAATTGATATCGCGGCTTCACTGTCGAATTTCTCGATGATCAAGCAAACCATATGAAGTTTGTCCTGAATAGTTCTGCCCTTCACAGCACAAGTCTATTCGGAGCCAATCAGACTAGACAGGACAAGCTGCAAACGGTTGGCTAAGATCTTTACCAAAATCTTTAACTTTGTATTTAACATGGTTCTTGTCCTTGCGTGGCAACTTGATCACATCCCTGGTGAAGCGTTGAAGTATAGACCCCTGCTTCATCCAGTTGCTGTGAATCAGTTCCAGCAAAGGAACAAAAACGGGCGACTGCCTTAAGTAAACTTCGTAGGGAAGACCATCTAATTTATCCAGGCCAACCTGCTTCAGCGCTTCCCAGATTTCCGACTCTGTGATAGGACCCTCGCACCCAGCCGCTTCAGCTGCCTCAAGGCAGGGAAAGTCATCTAAACAGTCGTCGAACGGGCTCCCTGGAAAAAAGTTCCTGAAAGTAATCCCGAAAAGCCTCGCATATGCCCACGTTTGTAGTCACGGTTCGCTTATCCGGCAATTTGACGCACGCGATATGCCACTGAGATGCATTCCTACTTTCCTCTGCACGCAATTCAGTGGTCATATTCGTCGCCTCAGAGGACATTCTTTTTAACCTAGCCCTAACTATCAGAACTTGATCTTTCTTAATAAGCAAGGAGGCCAACTTTGCCTTAGCTAAAGCTATTTCCCCACTATCACGGGATTTAACTGCCCGATCGACTTTCTGTTCTAAAGCCGCTTGCGCCGCTAATATATCTAGATTGAGTCGATGACTAAAATCAGCAGCAAATGCTCTAATTTTAGATTTTAATTTGTCCACCAGGCATTCCCAACCATAGCAACCGTCAATTCCATCATTAGTAGCAGCTGGTTCTGGAAATCCTGCTCACCAAATGATGAGCCGCCACTATTAGTCCAAGTCCACACTACCTCCCGGGGATGTTCATTCCAGTACTTATCAACAAGATCAAACCTGTCGATAAAGTCCCGAAATGGTTTCACGTCTCAGTTGTTAGCACCTGAATTTGACCCTATACGATCTATGTTGGGGTCAAGGACGGCATTCTAATCCCCCGCTAAAACTACTCGACGTGATGTTGCCAAATACAGCCCGATCTACCGAAACAAAGCAGGCTGCTCAATATGGACATTGGGCGCATAAACACCAATGAGACGCAGAGCCTTATCTTTGATGGTAATATCCAGCACGCAGTCTGCCCACCAGATCTGCGAAGACAAGAGCACACGCAGCCTTCAAAGACTTGCTCACCAGCCAAGAGACACCTCTCAAGCGTCCATCAAAACATGCTGAATAGAGGAAAAACCCCATAGACAGAATGACTTCACAATCGCGAGAAGAAAAACAGGTCTATTGCACACAACATATATGCACCCCGAGACGCTGAATGTCACGAGAGAGCCTTGCCCTACGAGACTCCGACCTCGGGCATTCAGACGTGCTAACCATACAGGCATTTATCAAACTGATTAAGATTGTCCTCCGATTGCTGGTTTGAATTTTCGCTGGATGAGTTTGCGCCAAAATTACAGGGCTTGTTGCATCGCTTAGCATGCTGGCCACAATACCAGTATGTATCATACTTTAAATTATTCCTTCGTGTCAAGGACGATTGGCATCTGTCGCGTTGCTGCGACCGCGAATGGATGGCTTGATTAGAATGTGTTCTGTAGACTTCGTAATTGTAGTGTAAGATCAGCCAGACTTTGATTTTGAGGAGCTCATGAGAATCACTCACTGATGTTGTGGACGGTGTCTGTATGGTGGTGAAAACTGCGCTGGTGGGTTTATTATTGCTTATCTTGTCTGCTATCTCTGCCAGTCTTTATAAAACTAAATCATCTGGGACTGGGGCTAATATTTGGGTGGTATGCGTATGTAATTTGTTAATCTACAGTTTACGCATGACGGTATCGGACATCGTAATGACCACATTTTCCTCAAGAGCTGTGAAGGTTTATTTTGTCCCAGATGGAAGTTATTGAGGAGGTCATGAAAGTGATGCGCCTCGGATTCGCCGGTTCGGTGTCCTTAGCAACCTTAAGAATGTCATATGGCTTATCCACTGGCATTTCGTTCAACAGGTCAGACACCTCCATGGACTCCATGGCCACGTCCGCCAGTAATTTTTCTACTACATAAGCATAGCGAGAAGTCTGAGATGTGATTTTTTTCGCATTAAATATAGCATTTAGCTGAGCAAACCAAACCAAACCTGGACGTTGGTCTGGTTATATGAAAGTAAAGTGATGGCAAATGCTGCCACCATATGTGTGTCATTTGAGTCGGTCATGGTATGAACTTGACGATTTTTTCAATTAACTGTAGTGCAAACAATAATGTAACACCCCAACTTTTGTAAGTAGAGACTATGGTCTCACGTACAGTCCTTGATTAGTTTGACATAGTTCTTCAGATACGCTGGCTGTCGTATCCCTCGTCCAGCATGTGTGTGAATCCCAGCAGGAGATTCGCATTTTTCTGGTTCAGTTGTATTTGTGTCTTCACTTGCAACAGCTGAGGCTGATGAGGATACTGTTGGAGGTGCAGGGGCTTTTTGTGTTTTTGCCATGTCATGTGGCAAACTTAGCGTGTCTGTAGTGGTTGGTGGTGGCTGCCCATTTCTCGCATGCTTTGCTGGTTCAGATAATTTGCGTAAAAGACGTCTGTTTCGCCGATAGGTTCCACTCGCTGTCTGGACTTCGTATGAACGTTCATCCAATCGGTGATTTATAATGCCTTTCTCCCATACTCGATCACCTTGTACGGATGTATTCGTACGACATCACCTTCATTCAGCACAGGTAAATCACGTGTATGACAGTCATAGTATTTGGCCTGAACCTTCTGTATGTATTCCAGTAGAATTTTGTCACTCGGCTCAAGCCTCGCCGTTCTAAGATTTAGCAAATTGCTCTTCATGGGGAGAAGTGTACAGGTGCGGCGATTTAGTAGGCACTGAGAAAGGCTGCTTCCAATTCCTTGGGTTGTTGATGTTTCTGACATCAAGCAGTGCCAGAAACTGGTTCGCGTGGGTATCTTTGTTTTTCCTCATGAGCCATTTTGAACTCTTAACTGCAGATTCCGGAACTTGACATGAGATTTTCAGAAAAGTTCTTGAAGGATGAAGATGTAAACAGTGGTCTTGCATTGGAAATCAATTGACATGGAATCCCATATTTTGCGAAGTGTGCCTTCAATTTGCAGATGACAGTTAAAGCAGTAGTATCCTCAAGTCGATCTATTTCCCAGAAGTTTGAAAAATAATCGACAGTTACGAGGTACTCGACGCTGTCAAATTCAAATAAGTCAAAACCAACCACGGACGATCAGATATACTGTGTGGCATTAGTGTCTCCTTAGATTGCTCTGTTGTGAACTTGTAGCAAGTTTCACATGTGGATATGTACTTCAGTATGTCCGATGACATACCTGGCCAGAAAACACATTCTCTGGCTTGCCGTAGACATCCATCAATGCCTATGTGTGATGAGTGAAGTGCGCGTTTAATCTCACTCCGCAAACTGTGAGGGATGAGTCCTCGGTCACCATTAAATATGAGACTATCTTAAGCGGATATCTTATAGCGTAGATGGAAATATGGGTGTAGTGTAGCTGGAAGATTTGTTCTATTAGACGGCCACTCCTGTAATATGGTTTTCTTCAGCTGATCGCATATTTCGTCCTGGTCTGTTGCTCTGCGGATCTGCACACGCCTTTCGTCACGGATTGGGAGGAAGCTAACCATATTCACATGCTCAAACTCTGATAGTTCTTTTCATTTGTCGAATATGATCGCGATAGCATGTCTGCAATGTACATGTGCTTTCCCTGGATATATACTACGTCGATGTAGTATTTTTGGGTTTGTAGTATCATTCCCTGTAGACGCTTTGGTGCTTTGGCCATAGGTTTCTTCACTATGGCATCTAGTGTTTTGTGGTCAGTGTGAATTTCTGTCCTTCTGCCATAGGTGTATTGGTGAAATTTCTCCAATGAGAATACTTTTGCATGCATTTCTTTTTCAATTTGGGCGTATCTCTGCTCTGTCTCAGTGAGGGCTCTGCTTACATATGTTAAAGGCTTTCCTTGCTTTAGTAGGGTTGCACAAAGTCCTTCTGAGCTTGCATCACACTGAATTACAAATGGTGCATTCAGGTTGTAGAAAACTGAGTACTGGAGCTTTTGTCACAAGTTGCTTCATTTCTGCGAATGCTGCGTCATATACACGAGACCATATCCATGGGACATTCTTATGCATCAGTCGTCAGATCGGCTCCATGACAGGATAGTTGCGGCAGAAACCTTGCCAGGTAATTCACGGTTCCACAGAGTCGCTGTACTCCTTCCACTGAAGTGGGTGGTTACAACTTAGTGATTGCATCAATTTTAGCAGGGTCTGGTAGTAGGCCATCACGAGTTACGAGATGCCCAATGAAGCTGATTCATTAAGCTGAAGTTTTTCTTTCTTCAGTTTAATTTTCTTCTCTCGGCATCGTTGTAGTAGCAATTTCTGATTCAAATCATGTTCTGCTGATACTTGATCGAGTTCATCTCCTGAACATGCTGAACAATGATGTCATCAGCGACACACGCAACTCCATTCAGGCCATCCAGAGGTGAAGAATTTTCTGAAATATTTCAGAACTCACACATGTTCCAAAGGGGAGTTTGAACCACCGGTATCGCCCGAAACCTGTCTGAAATGTAGTGAGATAGCTGGATTCATTGTCTCATATTACATGCCAGTAAGCAATTTGGTGAAATATTTTGCATTTGTTACCCTTGGTAGCACTTCATCTATGGTTGGTAATTGGTATCGTTCATCCTTCAGTGCCTTGTTCAAGGATTTTGGATCAATACAGATACGAATCTCACCCGAGCTCTTTGTTGCAGTGATCATTCTGCTATTCCAGTCTGTAGGTACATCAACAAGAGCGATAACTCCGAGTTCCTCTAGTTCCTTTTTAACTTGAGGGATCATGGACACTAGCATGCGTCCTGCCGAGGCAGTATGCGGTGTGACAGTTTTGTCAACTTGTAACTGCACCTGTCCAGGTAATGATCCTAGTTCGCTATTGAAAACATCTGCATAATCCATTAAGAGCTGCTTGCACTCTAGTACTGAACTAACATTAGCGATGTTATTGTAATTCACAGTTATCAGGTTCATCTGTTCGCTTGCGTATTTTCCTAACAAAGGTGTCAAACTCTGCTTGACTATAGTAAATTCCATTGAATATTTCTTCATATTTTGGGGGTTGCGCAGCACAATTCGGCATTTTCCAATGGACACTAGTTCCGTCCAGTACCACATTGATGGTAGCTCCACAATCCACTTGGAACTTCCTTTTTCCTAGTATCATATTTGCATAGATAATCTTATCTGGCTGCTCTCTCTCCGAGTTTACACATAGCACTTATTCACAGTCAGTGTCACTGGAAAAATTTGAAGAAACACGGTTAATTTTGTGTTTAGACTTAACCTCTGTTTTTCCCATAGAGGTCCTCCTCGGGCATTTCAGTGTGAAATGTTTTCGACTGTTGCAAAATTTACATTTTTGGCCCCACGCGAGACATGCTTCTTTCGGTTTTTCGTGTTATCTTGCCACAGAAATTACAGTCTATTTGTCCCGGTTTAGTACGATATTTCTGTTTGTAGCTTTGTTTTTGAACTCTGTTTATTTCGTCTGTCACGTTCAAGTCCCTCATAGCTTTCAACTGTGTAGTCGTAGCTTCACAACTTCGGCATATTGTCCGAGATTCAGTGTTGAAAGCTGTAACATTCTTTTATGTGCCTGGTTGTCTCTTACACCCAACACTATGCGGTCGCGTAGCAAAGAATCGTGTAAACACTCACAAAAATTGCAAGACTTCGATAGGTTGCGAAGTGTGGTTAGATAGGAATCAATGCTCTCACCTTGTTCCTGGTCTCTTTTGTTGAAGACATACCGTTCATACATCTCGTTGGTTTGTCCGATAGAATGTTGATCAAACTTAGCTATTAACGTGTCCAAGCCATCTTTGTTTTCCGTTGAAGTAAATTAAAAACCGTTGGAGACTATCAACGCATCTGGTCCGATAGCATGGAGAAATAGTGCCGTTTGGTATTCCTTATTTTGTTCGCATAGCTTGGTTACGATTCTGTAATTATTTCACATCTGTTTCCAGATCTTCCATCCTTCTGAGGCATTAGTCTTAATGTCCAGTTTGCCCGGTGGCGATATGTTTGATTGGAATCCTTCCGCCATATTTTACGCATGTGGTCACTTTTTTTCTTTCCGTGTTATCGTCATTCCAAATGCCGGACGCCACTGAAACAGCTTATGTGGGACTGCCTTTTTTGTTAGTATCAGTCCCCATTTGCATGGTTGTAAAGCGTGAATTATTTCCTTGTTGTTACATTAAGTCATGGAAAACAGGACAGACACAGATTTGAAGTTTGAGAGATAGCCGACACAGAACTTGACTGGCCTTTATTGGGTACTAGAAGAAAGTGAATGAAACAAGGGGTTAGGGAGAAAGGGGGCGTATCAGGGAGTGAGAATCACGTTCCTTAACATCGATTAAGGAGCATACATTAACGGTAGTGCAAAGAGGGTATACATTTAAACATTAATGTAACAGTCGTAGGCATTGTTTGTGCATGACTGGTTGATAACCGAATACCGGAACGTTGGGGTTACCAATTGCGAAGAACTTGTTATGTCGGGTCTTATAGTTGAAAGAATAAATTTGGGCTTCATCTTCAAAGACCTATATCCTCAGCACATTTATATTCAACGAAAATAAACAGAAAAGCATAGAACAATACAAAGGCATTTATATTGAATAACAATCAATTTTCATTTATATTGTATGACGATTACAATGATATGTATTGTAATAAGCGTAGATTTTTTTTATTGAAATCTCGTATTTAGTTTTGTATTGTTTAATTTGATTAATGTTAAACTCTATGTGTGTGTGTGTGTGTGTGCGTCTTGTGAGTTTAACTGAGAGGTTAAGTGTTGCAAAATTTGTGATAAAACTTTCACAAAGTAGGAAGGAGTAAGAAAATTAAATAGTTTGTGCCAAATAATAAATTCACATTAAATTTGTGTAAATTTAGTTCGAATAAAGTTGTCTTCCCTTGACTGCTCTTGATAAGACTTGAAGTTCAGGAGATGATTTCGTTGTCGAAAAGTTCTTTCTTTGTTTGAATGAAATTGCAATGTTTATTCACTAAAAGGAATGATTACTAGCTGCTGATTGAACGAATTGATGAGTGAGTGAAAATTCTGGAAGTGTGTTATATGTTCGCAAGTAACTTTGAAAACTTCAGATGGAGTGACATAAGTTCGTGTAGCAAATAGTCTGAAGTCACAATGCTTACTGGCATCAGTGAGTTAGTGTTCTGTATTTATTTACTTGGGTAGGCTCCAGAGAAATTAATACTAAAAAATTTTAACTTGATCACATGATAAAAAAAAACCTTGTACATGAGTGGATAGCAACGCCCACTTGCATGTGTGTTGACCAATTAGAACTCGAATATTCAAAAAAATATGTGCGAAGTTTGATCTTTCAAAACATCGCTGTGATCCACTTTTTGAACAGAAATTGAACAAGCTATTTTTTGTAATTCGTAAAGATGTAGAATTTGGATTCTACACAGCTTCTGCAAATTCACCCATTAATCAATGAATAAAAGATGAAAATTTCAATTAAATCAAATAATTCCCTGATTTTTTTTCACATGTCGAAAGAAAAGTATGCATGATTTCAAAGGTACCTAATATAAACAAATGGGTAAATATAGGTAGATGTACGAGCAAGCGATCGTATACAAAAATACCATCTCGTGTAAAGAAATAACAGGGTTATTTAATATATATTAAGAAATATACATAATATCTTACAATGTAAGGTATGTGTGTGTAACTACACAACATTTTGCTTTTATCATCTCATGCCTTGGTAAAGTCAAATGACGAAACACGTCGGCAAAGACTAAGAACTATTTTCCAATTGTCTTTTTTTATTCAATTTGTCTTATCTTCAGAATTATTGAGAAATTTATTCATTATTGCGCATGCAAAGCACAAACTTTGCGCAAAATTTAAAAAGAGCATGATTATTTACAAAATAAAAAAAAATGCTAGAAAAGGAATTAATAATAAGAAAAAATTTAATGTTCAATTTTTTTGTATTTTGATGATTATTTACAAAAAATATATAAGCATGATTATTTCCAAAATAAATTTTTGAATACAAAATTAAAAAAAAAGAAAGGAAATAATATTAACAAGGACAAATTTAAGATTCAATTTTTTTTAATTAAATTTTGAAGTTTTACAAAGCATGATTATTAAAAATAAGATTTCATTAGTATTACAATTTATTTCATTAATTATTATTTGTTTTATTATAAAAAAAAAACAACACTTGTCATTGCTCAAAAAAATAACTTAAACAAATTTACCAAAATCCCTAACCCTTGCGCGATATTTGAGACGAGTAAGATCAGTAAAAAGACAGTTAACTAAGTAAGCTTCCGCGCATGGTTATTCTGCAGCAAATGTATGCAAACAACGCCAGTAATAGCTGCCGAATGAGTCCTAGCTCTTAGTGTCGATAACTCCAAAATGGTAGATTTTATCAAAATTTCTTTGTTATTTTCGAAATAACTATATACATTTACACCTAAATGTAACTATTCGGGAAATTTTTATTACAAACTGAGCGCGGGTCCTACATTGCAAATTACCTAGAGTAAATTTTTTCATGTTGCAAAGAAAAAAATATTTACATTGACTAATGTTCCCAAAGAAAACAACTAAAATTCTTTTGAATTTTAAGGAAATCATTTTTATTTTTCGTTAACTGTATTTTTTTCCTAAGAAAACAGATTTGTATTTCATAGAATAGTTTCAGGCGCAAGAAGAAAATTTTCATGTCATCTATTTGTACACAATGTGTGTGTGTTTTAATTATTCTGAATTTAAGTTACTGAATTATCATAGTATTCAAAGGCGATTTAGAATTATTTCCTTTTCGAACATAATCTAACAGTTGCTAAAATGAAAAATTCTTTTAAATGTTCATACACAAAAATGACCTTTAAACTTTTTACATTTTTTCGATTTTTCAGGCGTTTTTTTATTTAATAAAAAAAAAAAAAAAAAAAGAACATCAATGGGATGAATTTCAGACGCGCACTTGAAAATTACAATTAAATTTTAAAAAATGTCAAACGTAGATTTTTTCCTGTCCAGTCTGAAATGTTTCTATATTATTTTTTTATGCAGGCACATTTATCTTAAGATTATTAAGTAATAATTAAGATTCGGGACAGTTTTTCCGTATATTCACACTTGATATTGCACTTTTTTTTCGTTTTATTTTAAACTGGCGTAACTGCGTAACGTCTTTAAGCATTTTTTTTTTATATACAGTGTAACCCGGATATAAGAGACCCGGATATAAGAGAGATTTTCTCCGGTCCCAAATTAGAGCCTGTGTTAATGTATATAAAATAGACCAAACCTGGATATAAGAGACTTCGTCTCCGGTCCCGACAACTCTCTTATATCCGGGTTACACTGTACAACTAAAAATAAAATAATTTCACGACCGCCACCCTCCAAAAAAGTACAAGTACATATCGAAACGGTTTTTTAACCTCATTCAGTACAATTCGTTCATTCATTACTGAAAAATTCGTTTTAATCAGATAATTCCCTGATTTTTAACAAATATTTTAAAACTGGGTAATGATATATTTATTCTTATTTTTTTTAAAACTTTTTTTGCTTTCAATCCAGAAAAAATAACTTTTTGAATTTTGGTGTTGGTACCTACATTTTTGATCCATGTGGTTTTTAAACCGTACAGTACAGTGGAAATTTAAAACATTGAAAAAATGGAAAGTTGATTTGAAAGGGTTACCGTTAATTAATTAAAAATTAGACTTAGTAGAATCAATAAATTAATAAAAAGAAATATAAAAAATAAAAATAATTTTTCATGCGACGGTTTTATTTGTTTTTGTCGTTTAGACTCATATAATTACTTTCTTCGTTGAAAAGTATCTCTCTCCCTCTGTAAGAAAATTATCGAAAGAAATCTCCAGAACTTTAGTTAGTCGCTTCAGTTCAAAATATAATCACGTGAAGAGTAGATAATGTAATGATAATGAATATATCACATTGATGCAATTGAATCGTTACGATAGACATATGCGAATTGTTCACTTTATTAGACAAAATTCGAAACGAAGTGTTTAGTTTACAGATCAATCGCATGTTTTTCGTAAAAATCTTGCTAAAGATAGCCTTAAAGCAGCTATGACTAAAAAAAAGATACACGTAGTAGTCGGTTTTCTTATCGGGCTTCTTATAACTGTGGTTTTGATACGAACGTTTACGTTTGACGTGAGAACTGACAAAGGAAATGCATGCACTGACCCACAAGTAGAAAATAAAGGACACTCCAGAATTGACCTTAGCAAAAATCAACAAATACTTGAAAATTTCAGGCAAGCTCTCAGATTCAAAACAATTTCTTTGGACAAACATTTGTATAGCACAGACGAACTGACGAAATTTCGAATATTTGTTGAAAAAAGTAAGTTTTTTTTTTTTAAATAGAAAAGAAAACAACGCGTTTGTGAGCGACAATATGGCATTCAATAAGAAAAAAAAGTAAATGAAAAAAAAAAAACAAGGTCAAAGAAGAGTGATGTTGTTTCAGAAGCTAATTTCAGTTAAAGATTCTGTTAGTGTTAACAGTTAAGTGAAGTTTTCATTTATTTCGTCCAGTGGTTTTATTTTTTTGCTATTTTGCTAATATTCGAAAAAAATAAGTTTTTAAAGTGGAAGCGGGCAAATAAATGGTCCCTCGTGTTTTTTTTTGTCATAAGTAGACTCTGACCTTGTATCCGATCATAAATGTAAAAAAAAAAAAAAAAAATTTATGCTTTATTTTAGAAACTAAAGTATATTCTTACTTAATAATATTAAATTAATATTATTAATTAATAAAATATTTAAGTTTTAAATAATATTAGCTTTAACTTGAAAATTATTCGGAAGTTTGTATGTAAGAATCACGTGGAATGGACATTTTTTTTTTGCTTGCGTATTTGATACTAGCAAACTGAATCTCACTTAAAATTTAGAAAAAATAATATTCCTGTGCTTATTCGATGAATAAAAAAATACTGAAAAAATTTCTTAGAGAGGTGCATCTCTGTAGAGGCGCCAAAAATGAAAAGAAAAATTATTTTTCGTTTCGGATGCATGACTTTTCGAATCTAAGAAGGGCTCAGATTATGAGGTTAGTTTAAAAATTTAAAAGGGGAATGTAAGGGAAGTAAATCAATGTTTATCTGCAGAAATTATGGTAATGGTTCGGTTAAATTAAAAATTATTTTTGGAGAAAAATATTTATTATGAATTTTTTAGGTTTTGTTTTAATTTGGGAAATTAATAAGATTTCTCTAGTCTTTCTAAGAGTCTTTAAGTTTTAAGGAGTTCGATTTATTTACAGCAAGTTTAAAATAAATGCTAAACTGGACCCTTATATTTTTGAATAGAGAAGCAATGTTAAAAAAAAAAAATCACCTCTTTATTTGTATAAAGGAAAAAAACAAAACAAGACCCAGTTTAGCAATATATTTATTTTAAATTTACATTGCGAATTTAGCGTTTAATTAAAATTGCAATTACATTTTAAAATAATTTAATTCCCTTGCTTAGATTTATCATTTATTTATTTTTGCTTGCGTAGGAGGGGGGTTACAATGAATTTGCATAACAAACGGAATCCCCTTTTAAACTTTAGAAAATTGCATATTTGTTGATCTGGAAAGCTTAATCGATACTAATATGAAAAAACAAGAAAAAAAAACAATTGATATTTTTTTGTTATTTTCTTTCCGTATGTAAAAATAAATTCAATATTTATGTCCAAGTATTAAAAGTTAAAAATGTCGGACCTACCTCTCTCATTATTTTTTATTTTTTGAAGTCATGCAACAGATAAAAAGTAAAACGAAAAAAAATAATACCAAAGTTAGGATGCTTGTCGCCGTTGGTAGCTGCATAATTAAAAGAAAGAAAAAAAACTTAATTCCAACGAATGATTTATTATTTTTATGGAAATATTTCGGCTAGCAGTTGCCAGTCTTGGTCATTCCTTAATTTGAGTAAACAAAGAAGTTCGAAACGCTTAAGAATTTAAATCCAGGAAAACAGAGTTGATGACGGTTTTTTTTTTTTTTTCTCCTCTCTCTCTCTTCGATATTATGCCTCGACTTGCTATTAAATGTCATCAACTCGGTTTGTTTTCCTGGATTTAAGCGTTTCGAACTTCTGTTTTTAAATTTTACTCAAATTAAGGAATGACCAAGACTGCCGAAATATTTCCATAAAAAAAAAATCATTCATTCATTGGAATTACAAATTTTTTCTTTCTTTTAAAAAATAATACCATTCGACAGACGATATTCTTTCGTTTTAGACAATAGCTCCGAACGATTCCCAAGGAACTCTTTGCCAAGGGTTCAGAGGGCTAGTTCAAAGAATTTAGGAATGTAAGGGAAATAAATCATCGTTTGAAAGCCTAAATTTAAGTGCACCAAGAAAATTTGCATTATTGCTTGTCGTGAATCGGTGATACAGAGCCTCCCACTGACTCCATCTCAATTTTCATAAGATAGTATTTAAAATACAAATTTTATTGTAACCCAATTATGTACATGGATCATATGAACATTGCATTCTGGGATGACATTAACAAAGAAAGAATTCCTATGATCTTTAAATATATCAGAGAGCTTTCTTATGGTAATATGTGTTGTTGAATCCTGAAAAGCAAGAATATGAAATGAGCCCGATAATTTTGATTGAAAAAAACGAAAACAAAATACTGCATTTTTTTGCAAGAAAATATTTTCCTTTTTGTAATGATTCAGAAAAATTTAAACCCAAAATAATTAAAATATGAGAAGCAATAACAGAATTCCTATTTTTTTTGTTTGTCTGTCTTGTGAGGCATGAAAGTTTAAAATATCATACAGTAATTTTAATAAGCTGATTTGTTTTTTTATTGAATAAAAAAGCTATAACTCCAGTTCTAAATAATCTTTCCCAATAATAATTATTGAATAATTCCTTATTCCTTTAAAATAACATAACAGCATTTTCTAACATACCAAGAATACTTTACCCATTTTTTTTTCAGTTTTAATAACATGTTTGTCTCTTGGTTACTTACTAGTATATATGAGGGGGTGATGAAAAGTTATTGGGCAAGAAGCCTTTTCCTGCAAAATTCTGACATTTAATCAGATTTTGGGAAGTGGGTTGGGCTGAGACCATTTTAGCATCTACTATATAAAGTCTGATCTATATGATGGCATGATCAATAATCCATTCCAGCAGTTTTGTTTTCTAGCCTGTATTTTTTTTCTATCTATACTGTTATGGTTTGTACTTCTCTCAGCAACATTTGCTTTTCTTCTTTTAGTTCTATTCCCTCCTAGACTATCAGAGAATTTTTTAATACAATTACAGAACCATTTTTCAGAATTCTATTCTCAACAAACTCTTTAATCAATCAGCTTAGAGTAACTTGTATAACTTTTAAAAAAATCGATTACTGTATTTTCCTTTTCCAAATCCAATAAATTTAAAAAACACACTTTCAGAATTTATTATTTTTTCACATAAAAATGATATTAATCAATCGTTATTAGTAAAATTTTCAGAATATGCTTATAATTAACAATATATCATGTGAGTTTCAGCTTATAAAAATCCGTATGAAAATCATATCCCCCAAATAAATTATTATTTTGACAGTTAATGTGATTTAAGCTTCATCAGTTTTTCATTCATTGCTTTTATTAGCTTTTCTAATCTTTTGACTTTAACATTACTCACTGCAGTTATAAAATGTTATACCAAAAAATTAGTTTCATATGCAAAAAAAGAATAAATGTACACATATTTTCTCTTTCATCCTTTATTTTATCTTTCTATCTAGTCATAATAAATTTAAATGTATAATTTTTTTATGCCTATTCCTCTCTAATTGCTTTTCATCTTTCACTTAGTAACCTTGTTTCTTTGTCTTTCTTTTGTCTATATCCTTTGTCTTTCTATATTTTTTCCATTCTTTCAATTTCCTTTTTCTTTTTTTCAAGCTTTCTAATCTTTTTTCCTTCTTTAGACCCTCTTTTTCCACTTTTATTCGCCACTGACTTCAGGATATTGTATTGAAAAATACATATTTTTATCATTAGGCTGAAAATTTATTGATTTGTCTCCATAAGTGTTATCAATAAGACCTTTAGCTTGTAGTTAAGGACTTTCTCTATGTTCATATAATATGAATTACATCTAATATTATTTTATTACTAACTGGGTTGATAAACTCTTTAATCACCAGAGCAAGCAGTATGAAATTAGGCAGAAAGAAATAACTTCAAATGAAATGTAAATGGGGTAATTTACTCAGTAATTAGCATTTCTACCTACAACCAGTCTAATATTTGCTCTGCCTTGGATCAAAATGTCACTCTTCAACTCTGTACATAAGATCAATTTAGTATCTGTGCATGTTAGCATTTTCAAGTAAATTTTACCATATTCTGTAAGCATAAGAACACTGGTTCAGTAGATATGTCACTTGACTGGTTATCTTCTGATCAAAGGTTCGAATCAGGCTAGGATTTACTTGTTTGCCTCTGTTCTCACTATATTTGTTTGCTTTGTTATGGCAATAAGTTATTAAGAAAACTTGTGAATACATATGGTAATTTATATAGATAGATTTATGAGTTGTTGTTTGTTTTGTGAAACTAATAACAATCTTAAAGGTGATAAGACACAATGAATATCCTTAATGTTGACCAATTCACAATATTTTATGGATTTAAAAGTACATAAAAATCTTAAAGGGAAAAGTTTCACTCTTTCTACTCATACCATGAAGCAATTAGACATGAGGCATTGACAAAATCTCTATTACATTGATTGAAAATAATTTTTGAAGAATTCATCATTGCATTAAAAGCTACTTTTCTCCTTACATTTCATATATCCAGGCCTTAAGATGTCCCTTGGCTAATAGAATTTGGGAACCCCCTTCATTATGTATGTTGGCCTTTGATATCTATAAAAAAAGATATATGTTTAGATGATGCTTTTTTGGTGTAAAATGTGAAACAATTTAAAAGACCCACTCCAACTAGAGGGACCCAAATATTCTAAATTGTGTCAATTTAGTACAAAGGAGCCTCATTAAATCTAAAAATAAACAAATCTCCTCTGTTATGTTTTTATTTTTTTTTAAATTTTATCTGTGTCCAAAGACTAGAAGGCACTTGGGACCCTTCTAGTCTTAGGGCCCCTGTGCTGCAGCCCATATTAGCGCATATATAAATCCTGGAGTACATATTTGTTTTCTAGAATTTCAATTTTTTTCATGGCATATTTTTAACAAAAATGAAGACCTTTGATCTTGTATACGTTGGTTCCAGTGAAACTATTTTTTAAATTAGTGAACAGATTTGTCTTGTTAATAACCTTTACATATCAGTAAAGAAGATATTGAGACAAGCAGCTAACATTATCGAAATGTGCTGACTTTGCTTAATTTCAGATATTGGTACCATCTATGTATGAAAGGATCTGAAGCAGTCAAGAAAAAAGCTAAATTCAGATGGTGTCAGATTATGTTTTGAACACATTGAAATTTCATCTACACTATTTCTTTTTCTTTCATCTATACTTATTTCTTTTTCTGGATGTACAAGGCATCTGATCAGGAGATTGGCAGTTTTGAGGAGTCTGGAACCACCTCTTAACTGTTGTTGTTCCCAGGTTCACCCTGATCTGGGGTGGTAGCACCTGTTCAGATCCCAGCTATGGGCAAATAGTAAACCTCCAAACAAAAATCAACAGTACATTTTTATAGTAAAATGACCAACAATATATTTTTTTTAGCAAAATGACAAACAATACAACTCTAAAAATGTATAAAAATATATTTTTTATAGTGAATTACCAACAATACATTTTTTTATATAAAAAAAAATTATTAACAATACATTTTATAATACACAGACTATATATATATTAAATATATATATATATATATATATATATATATATATATAATTTTTTTTTTTTTTTTTTTTTTTTTTTTTTAGAAATATGTTGGATTTTAATTTTACTGTCCTTCATAAATAGGTAAAATATGTAAATTTTTGTACTGCAAAATTAATGAAAAATGTCAATGAATCATATGTAGATCAAATTAGCCTCCCAAATTGGTTTGAACCTTGAGAAGTAGTATACTTCTAATTTTATATCCATAAGGGGATTCAAAATCTAATTTCACATAGAGGTGTGAACTTTTTGAATACAGAGGTTTTATTAGAAAATAATTTCACACTGGCTTGTGAAAATCTTTTTCTCAAATTTACAGGAGTACAGAAGGGAGTTATTATGGTTATTTTCTAAATGGTCCAAAAATAACATGTGGTAGGTCTACAACTACATCCGTAAGTATTTTGGCAGTATTTGTCCTTGTAATGATTGTTTATCCAACAAACTCTTAAAAAATTCTTATTTATACTATGTAAAGACAGCCCGAAGTGCAATTTGACAGTAGGGAAATATTATACTCTGTTACAATTAGATTTCTTGATTCACACTACATGTTGGCTGAATGTGAGTGTCAAGAAAGCAAAACACAAAATAAAAAAGTCTTTTTCTGTGCATGGGCTTTGAGCATCACATCCGGTCCACAAAACAAAATCTCACAATAAAAATAGAATAGCCAATCATGAACATTTGTGCCTGAAAAAAGATGACCCTGGGGAACACAAGATTTGCTTAAAAGAAAGTCACAACACAATTGTGGGTCAAAAGGCCACTTGTTAGTATTATTATTCTTTTACTTCAAGATTACCAATATGATATAACATTTATAATGATTTTTAACTAGTCTAAAGCCTGCATCTTTAGTTATACACTGTTGAAATTGATTTCTGGTCCAATAGCACATGAGATGGAAAACTGATGAATTTTGAATGGTCATAACTTCATTGCTAATTGATCTACCAAGCTGAATATGGTACTATTTTTTTTATATTCTCTCAAGCTCTCTATGCCTGTATTAAAGATTCTTAGATATACTGGAAAAAGATTAGTTTAGGATACGTACAATTATTTTAAAAGTTTATTTATTTTTTATTTTTTAGATTTTATACACATCCACACTTCTCCATTTGTGAAGTATGAAGTTGTGGCTAATTACAGCTTGTTATACACAATCCAAGGATTGGATCCTAGTCTCACTCCTTATATGTTGGCTTCCCATTTTGATGTTGTACCAGCACCAAGTGATGGTTGGCATTTGGACCCTTTTGCAGCAGAAATTAAAGATGACTTTATTTATGCCCGGGGAACTGTTGATGACAAACATGGAGTTATGGTAAGTTTTAAGGGACTTACTTTTAAAATTATGATGAAATAATTATTTTTTATTAAATGAAACTAAATATTTATATTTATTATAGTCACAATTTCTTATTTTCAGTAATGTGTTTCAAAAAGCATAAAAGAATTTTTCTCAAATTAAAACAAGGTTACATGATAAAAGTAAATGGATTCATCTATTTTTGAACAAAAATCTTTTATTCAGCTATCTAAGCAGTTCAGAAATATTAGACATTAAAATCTGTTGAATTTGCTGTTAGCAGATTTTAGGGAATGTAAGATCCACTGTCTTGACTGACAATAAGCGAAACAATTCTTTTGTAAAAAAAAAAAAAAAAAAAATAATAAAAAATTTGGAATATTTTATTTTACACTTTGATAAAAAGTTAAACAACTAAGTCACTTTGTCAAGTGATTTACTTAGTTGTGTCTATATGATTTTTTCTAAGAACTGAATGTTGAATTCTCAGTTTTAATGTTCTTTGATGCTGCCTCACTCCACTTTTTTGAGTATGAGATTTAGGGAGTGATTGATTTATTTCTATTATCTTTTAAAAGTCAACAAAGTAATTATCAAAGAGTTTGTATATATATATATATAGAGAGAGAGAGAGAGAGAGTAGTGAGCATAAAGATCAGAATGATGTTAAGAAAAAGTCTAAACGTGAAATAACATTTTATTTTAAAGTGTCAAAAAACATTTTATCAAGGAAAAATAAGGATCTAAAGATAAATTATATAATTTCAAAATATAAAGATCAATGAACTTATTTTGATAAAATTATAAGAATAATTAGACTTTTCTTAACATTGTTCTGATTCTTTATGCTCGCTACTATATATATATATATATATATATATATATATATATATATATATATGAAAAGTGTGTGTATATTAATATAAATAAATATATATATGTATAATTATTTATATATTATATGTGCGGTACTAAAGCATGAAACCCAGGGTCACAAACTCACATCTATCCAACCAAATATATATATATATATATATATATATATATATATATATATATATATATATAGTTGTCTGTACATGTGTGTTCAGCTAAAACTAAAAAACTACAAAAATTATGACAAAATAAATATATTACAGACTTGGCATCACCCAACCCACCTTTTTGTAAAAAAAAAATATGATATGATTTGTATTACAAAAATATTTTAAAATTAAAAATACACAAGAATTGCATTAGAATACATACAAAATTCTCAGAATTAAAAAGTATAAATGAACGGGAATAATTCTTATTCTGTTCGTTTTTACTTTTTATTCTGCTGATAATTTCAAAATGCTATATGTATTTTAGAAATTTCTATTCTCTTGAATTTATTTCCATATCTGTAGTAAATAAAAGTGTAACTTTAATAAAATGAATATTAAAACAAAGTAAATTTAAAAGAAGAAACTTAATTTTATTAATATTTCTCAGCCATTTTATGGAAGATGATTTTTTTATTCAATCTTTAAAACTTCCTTTTTTTGTGGTTTGTAACTAACTAAAAATAATTTATTAAAGCAGAAAAACTATAGCAAACCTTATTTTTTTTTAAAATTAATTTAAATAAAATATAGTTAAATTCATAAAACAAATATTTAACATTACTTTTCAAAACTAAATTCTCAATGTCTCTACTCTCTTTCAAATTAGTTAGTAATTAAATTTATTTATGGGAAATGTTTGCTTCTTTCACTTTCTTAAAAAAGAAAATAATCACTATTGTAAACTTCATTTACTTAAAAAATCTAAATTCTCCTCCAACATAAATAGTAAATAATTATTATTTGTAGAAGTAAGGCTCGCTACAGTTTTTGCTAGAAAAAATGATTAAACTAAATATGTTTAAATATATTTTAATTTAAGTTTATTTACTTTTTTATTAATAATAATTTGAAAAAAGGTTAATGAACTTAAATAAATCAATTTGATTTGTTTGAAAGCAACATTAACAGAGTATTTATGCTATTATTCAATTTGAAAAATAAAGTGTCTTTTTTGAATAAAAGTATCTGGATGCTCAGCCCCCATGATTTTGGTAGTGTGGTATTTTCCTAAATTTAGTTATTTTCTAACAAACAAAAAACAATGAAGTTTTTCTTAAAGACTGAATAAAAAATTATTTTCCATAAGATGGCTGAAAAAATATCAATAAATTGTCAACAATAAACTATTATTCAGAGATCTTCCAAGAAATGTTGGGTATTCCCTAGTCTTTTAATAAATGTCAAATTTGAATAAAATAATGATGTCTGTTTATTTATCTCTGTAAAATGATATTTTATTATCTTTTTTCCTCAACTGTAGATTTTAGTGACATACTATAAATTTGAACACTAAAGGCAGAGCTACTATATCTGAAATAAAGCATTTTTGCTTTTTTTTAGCCACAAAATGTTAACCGTTTTTAAATACAAAAAGAAAACTATGCAAATGCTTATTAGAAAAACAAAGAAAATAATTGTGTGTGTGTGTGTGTATAAATTTAAAAATTTTAAATTTTAATAAAAATATTTGGTTAATGTAATACTGGCACAGTCCATACAGGGATTACATTTTTTTTTTAAACCTATATCAAAAAAACATTCATTTTTATTTAAAGTTGGGATTATTATTTTATATTAAACATAAAAGGGGATTACAGCTTTTTTATTTTTTATTTTTTCAAATTTTTCTTAATTTTTTTTATAAAATTAAACAGACTTAGAAACCCTAAAAAAAAAAGCTAAGTGAACATAAGAAAAAAATAAAAAAGGGAAAGGTTATAATTTACAGTAAAAATTAATCTTGATCAACATATTTCAACAGATATTTATTTTTAGGCCTACATGCACCCATCAATTCATTTCTCTTGTATAATAAGTTACAGTTATTTAAGTATTTTAAGACTGCTAATTTTTCTACAAGGCATAAATTACATTACCCTTTAAGATTTGGTTCTTGCTACAATAATGGGTGTATTACCACCATTCTTTAAAATACTAGAGATTTTTGGAGAGAGCAGTGCTATTTATGTTGCATAAAGTCATCTGATGATTATAGAAATTAAATTTCTAAGGATTTTCAGTGGAACCAAAATAAAATTTGACATTGTTACCAGAATGTATGCTAGCTCGGTATACAATATTATCATCATACATTGACCGTTTAAAAGATAGATTGTATTTTTTCGGCAGTTGCATTTATTTTCAAACCAGATATTTTTATTAAAATTTAAATTATGTAATGATCAGTCTTTACTCAGCACCTGAAGATTGTGTTGTGCATGAAACTCTAAGATGTGCTACTGGTGAGGGATAATATGTATATTTATTAATAGCTCTGTTATATTACATTGAGCACTATTTTATTAACACCAACATGATATATAAAGTAGCACACAGTGAGTGCTAGTGATAATAAAACAGTGCTTGATGAAAATAACAGATAAAATTTATAAGAAATATAAATTTGTTACTCACTATTTGATACAACTCTGAATTTCATGTACTCAATCATCAGGCAAAACATGAATACTGACAGTTTTAAAATTTTTTATATTGCGGTAATAAAATAAACACAACCTATCTCCCCTCTCACTTGTAACTATCTATTACAATAAATTTAACATTTTTTAGTGCTAAAGCTGAATAAGTCTAATAAAGGTTCATAATCTTCTACTTGGTGTTGTTACTCTATTACAAATATTAATATTTATAACCTACTGTTAAGATAGTGGAGCTATTTACTTATAGAAAAAAATATATAGACTTATATACACCTAATCACAAACATAGAATTCTTTTTCTGATGTTGGTTTATTGGCAAAATATATCAAAATAAGTTTTCAAAATTGTCTTTTTTTATATATATATATATATATTAAAAAGAAGAGAGATACCGCAAATGGTTTTGGTTGTAATGTGGATTTTTTTTAAAAAATATTATGCTTTATTTCCCATTATTTTACTACACGTGTTTCTGGTCAGGTAAAGGGTGGAGATTTCTGCATGTTATTAAAAATAATTAACTTTTTTTCTCCTTTATGTTTTTCGATGTTAAATATTCTCGATATGAGACATTCTCTTTTTTTTCTGTGTTAGTAATCCGAATGTCTTTCTTGAACTGGCAATGAAGAGTTCTGCATGAAGGGTCATAAAACAATTAAGATTGGTTCGAGAAATGATGAATTAGTTATTGGTATCTTATCTTTTAATGTTTTAATGACCCCTGTGTGTTCTTAGATCTATTTCCATTTTCGTGTGTTTCTGTCAGTATGTGTGTATATATGTGTATATTCCCTCTCTACACGAGACCAGAAACACGTAGTAAAATAATGGAAAATAAAGCATGATATTTTTTTTAAAAATCCACATTACAACTAAAATCGTTTGCGGTATCTCTCTTCTTTTTAATATACACACTTTTCTCTTGTTGGAACTACTGTAACCTCTTCCTTTTATATATATATATATATATATATATATATATATATATATATATATTTCCATAGCACTCCCTTTTTTTTCCATACTTCCTACACACAAAAATGACTAAAATACCATTTTATATTTGGTATTTCACTTTTTTTTTGTGTAGAAACTATGGAAGAGAAAAGGAGTACCAAGAAGGGAAACCTTTTAAGAATACATATTCAGAATAATATATTTGGCATTACTTCTCATAACAACACATCCCATAAAAGGTTATTTCATTTAACTCTTGCTTTTATGTCTTCCTTTGAATTCATTTTTATGTTCAAATTTATAGGTTATGTATAATTAATTTTATGATCTAATAAGGAAAATTGCTGAAAAATTTATTAAATAAATATTTTAATTCTGATTTATTTATTGTTAATAATGATAGAAATCATATGCATGAGCGTGTGATACCTTGTTATGAAGTAATAGTTAGCAAGCTGATCTTAAAGATTGTAAATATTGAGTGATGGATTTGATCCTCACTCAGTGCCTAATACTTGTTGCCTTGTGCCAAAGCTAAGCTGTGTTTAGAAAATGGCTTCTAGGTATTATCTCTTTGCGGCGCACCAGTAATCATTCCACAGCACACTAATGTGCCGTGGCACAGTGGTTGGGAACCACTGCTTTAAATTATGTAATATCAAAAAATATTCATACTAACAGAACATTACTACATTAAATTAAACAAATAGCTTAAAATATTTCTTTTTTGGGATAACTAATAAGTTGAATGCTTATCATTTTATTTGTTGCTATTTGAAGTCTAATGCTCATTATAAGTTATAATTTTTCAAATTTAACGTGATTTTGTTATTTTTGTTTCAGAAAAAAATAATAGTTTGTCTACTGTAAATTTTTATTTCAGGGTATTCTTGAAGCATTAGAACATGCACTAAAAACTGGTTTCAAGCCCCAAAGAACCTTTTACCTGGCATTTGGACATGATGAAGAAGTAAGAGAAATATTTGTTTACTGCAATTATCTAGGAATAAAAACCAATCATATAAATTAAGAAGCAAAATGATGAAAAAAAACAAATATCTGTTTCATTTTATGTATGACTGTTATTTTTGCTATGGAACCTTTTCTTTCTTTTTTGTTTTTTCATATAGGATTCATATTTCAAGTATACATTATCTAAAATTATAGCAATGCATTGTTGTATAATAACAATGAACGGAATATTTTGTTAAGATTATTTAACACAAGCTGATGAGAATATTGGAAGTTTGTCTAGGATATTTTGCCTCCTTTTATTGCACTAATTTTTATAATCATGCAGTTTTGTCAGTAATCTCTGCTTTATATCATAGAATGTGCATAAAATCAAAATATGCTGCCATCCTTTTGGGATAAAATTATTGATTTAAAAGTCAACAGAATCATTTTACCCGTTAATTATTTAACATATGAAATCTGACATTATTTACAGGTTAAAAAGAATCTGGTATCAATTATAGGTTTTTACCTCTAACTCATTAATACCCACTATCTCAAAAATGGGACAGCAGGTATTAATAGCTTAGAATTATGGGAACAAGATGACCTTGTGATAAAGTAATCAGAAGTAATCTCCCTTCTTTTATGATTACCTTCCTTTGGAAAACTCTTTTGTTTGTAGAGGATTATAGTCACTAAGCTGGTATCAATTATTCTAAGTAGAATAAAGCTTCCCTAAGACTTCACTTGCTCTCTTTTCTTATTACAATTTATTCTGCTTAGAATCAGTATGGAATAACTAATGCACCCACAGCAATTTGATGTGGAACTAGATACTCCAAATGCTCTTTATTTGCCATTTTTGGAGTTCCAACTTTCATCATTTCAGACCATGGAGCCTCTTTCATGTCAGAGCAACTGAGACAATTTCTTTGTGAATGAGGAGTGGCCACAAGCTGAACAACACCTTACCACCCTCAGGGTAATGGTCAACTGGCTACTGCAAACTGCAAATGTCTGATCTCCCACTGGGAAGATCTCCTCAAATCTCTGTATGATCCTATGTACAGCCACCAACACTATGCCTCACAAGAGGTTTCTTCCATTTCAACGAAGAAGCACAACAGGAACTTCACTTCCTTGATGGCTCTTGAAACCTGGTACGGTTCTTCTGAGATGTTTAGTCTGTCATAATAAGAATGACCCATTGACAAATGAAGTAGAGCTAATTGAAGTGAATCCACATTATGCCCTGCTACACTCAGATGGAAAAGAATCCAGTTTCCTTCAGAGACCTTGCACACACAGGGGATGTACCTGCACCTAGTATAGTTTGTGAGGAGGGGCCTACATCTCAAGACCCTTCCACTGCAGTTAAAGGTCAGCGTTGTGCTATGGGATTCATCTATGAACTCATTGCGAGCATCTGATATGGAATCCATATCATCTCGGGAATCCCAGAAGGCCCAAAGTGAGCCAGATGTGGATGATTGTTCAATTGCTCAGAAATGAACCCATCCCCAAACTGATTCAGAACCCCTGTTTTCAGAATTGCAACAACCTGCACACAGAAGACGGAGAGAGAAATTTGAAGCAGCTTGGTGCAAGGGTCCCATTCCAAGTCCGAGATCTGAGATGCGCTGAAGCAAGTTGGCCTTGGCAAGACTCTAGGATTAGATGGTCTTCCTTACAAAATGTACTTGAGGCAGTTGCCTGTGTTTGTCCCCTTGCTGGCACTGATTTACAACAACTGGATGAAGCAGGGGTTAGTACCTCGATTCTTCACTAGGGGTGGGATTACGTTGCTTTACAAGAACAAAAATAGTGGGGATGGGAGAGGTAATTATCATGTAGTGATGGTGTACCGCATGTTGACTAAGGCTGTGCACTATGTGTTCTTTTGCTTTCTAGGAGTTATTCGAGTCATGATATGGATGACACAATAGAAGGAATTCCAAAGAGTAGAGAAGTTTACCTCTTCCTAACTGATCCCGTTCTCTATTTACATTATTCGGACTATTGTCCCTATCTTTGTTGCCATATTTATCACAACGTTTTGGCTGTTGTACACTCCAGTCTTCTTCTGAACCCTTTATTTTGCTTGCTGGGGTAGACTGTTCTAGTTCCATGTCTAATGGATGTCAGTTATCAGTTATCTCCAGTTAATTCACCTCTCCAAGTTCTCCACTGCTTTAACCAAGTATTGAACTCACACTGTCACTGGGCCTTTATCCACTGTGCCATGTGTCCTTAAGGCATTAAGGATATTGGAATTGCTGGATTGAACATTGGCAACCCCACCCACAATAGGTTAGTCTAGATTTGTTTTTCCTTTAGTTTTTTTCTTTCATCCAAGTTAACTTAGCTAGGGTATATATGCTCATTACACCTTTTATATTTTTTTACCCCCACTTTCTTTGTTTATTCCCCATCCCCTCCTCCATTAGGTGATCAGAGATGCCCGTTATCTGGTGGATGCGGGATGCCTTTCTTTTTTGGGGTGTGATTTTTCATATTTGTTGTTTTGTTTGAATGAGGTTGTTTCTGTTAGTGTTATGTTGTTTGCATCAGTTTTTTATTATTTAAACTCCACATTAATTTCGTCCAGTTAACTGATGTCTCTGCCACATTTAGTGATTGTGGGTTTTTTTATTACTAATACTGTTTTTTTTTTTTTTTTTTTTTTTTTTTTTTCCTGTAAATAAATTTTGTTTGTTATTGTAAATATTCATCGGGCTCATAAATTTTTAAAAGTTGTTTTTTATATCCCCCCTCCCCCCACATACAAAAATTGTACATAAGGGTTCTAGTTAGGACTTCATAGAGTCTCTGGGTTATTATGGTGGTTGTAGTAAGAATGGTAAGTAGGAATGTGGCATTTTGGTGCAAGGGCTATTGTAGCATGTCTCGGTCAGTGATTGTGGCTAGCCTAGTTTAATTTTAAGACAGGCGAAAATCAACCTTCCCTATCTGCATTTTAGGCCATGTGCCTAATTTATATTTTTGTGCAATAAATATTCTGAACAGAATAAAGTTTCCTTAAGCCTACTCTTGCTCTCTTTTGTTATTACAGACCTTTCTCCTCATTTATAATATTATTTTCAACACAGCATAAAACTAATATGAAAATGTCATTGATAAAATTAAATAATTTAGTAAGAATTTGAAATTTACTTGGTTCTCTTGATTTTGTTTTCTCAGCAGAACAATTAATGTTTTAATGTGTTTTTATTTTGTAATTTTTGTTGAGATTATCTTATTTATTATATAAAATTTTTCAAATTAAATTTTTCCCCCAAAACAGAAGAAACATCAGTATTATAATTGTATTTGAATTAATAAAAACGTAGAATTTAAAATATTCTTTACATTTTTACTTATCCTTTTTAATCTGACTCATAATTTTGTATCAGTTTTCAGATTTTGAAAAAAATTGAAAAGATTTTGTTTTAAAGTGTTCAAAAGTGATAATAATTTCTCACACATAAAGTTTAGAAATCTATACACTACCAAATAAACTGTTATTCTATTGTTGTTCAGATTTTATATTTTTTGTTTTACAATATCATACTCTTATTTTTTGAAGTGTTTGGAAATTTTTCCAGAAATCTACAAAAATTAGTGCTGTTTATTAATAGACTTCGACTGTAGTAGTAGTAAGCAGAAGAAATGAGTCACTGAGCCAAAAAATCAATTTGCTTAATTTTTATTTGAAATATTTGGCAATGTACTTTTAAGAATATATCTGAGGTCATTCATGACTGTAATGGAAGTTGTTGCATTCACATGAACCCAATATAAAGAAAGATACACACCTGAAAATACTGAAAATAATGTATGCAAATTTATGGGCCGTTTGAGAAATCCTACAATTAATCGCTTGGGATTAAAACTAAAATTGTACAAAATAATTTTTTGTGATGTCAACGAACACTTGTTGTCACTTTTGTAATGCTCATTGTAGTAGAGACTTTTTAATCACAGATAAATATATTAACGCTGTTGAACAATAGTGGTGTCAGACACCTTCGAATAACACTTGCACTAATAGTACTTGCTTGATAATATTCGTTTGAAAAATAACCACAGAATAGTGATCTGTTTAGTGATTCGAATAGTAATCCATATAGTGATCAATTAGACGCCATGCTATATATACATTTCTGTTACCATCACGTGATCTACTTATTCAAAATGGCATTGCCTGTGTTTGCTCATTGGTGATCTGTGTTCAAACTCCAGTGTCAGCAGCAACACTTTATTCCTATATAACACCTCCCCTTTCAGATGACTTTCCCCTACTTTCATCTTCAGTTCAATAGTTAGAAATTCTGTTGGCATTCTTTTTCTTTTGCCGTAAACCCTTGGTTCAACAATTTCTGATGGCATGAGTATGTTAAATGTGTCATACAGAATTTCCATTGGTACCTCTTTTCAGGGATTTTTTTTAACTGATTAAGCTGTTGCTTATGTTTCAACCTTTGTCCCTATTTTATCTTTGTCATTTTGCCAATCCGTTTTTTATAACACCTGCTTCCCAGAATTCCTTTCCACACTGATACATCTTAATAAATACCTTATCTCCAAGTTTGAAGTATCTGCTTATATTGTTATTTCTTGATGTTGATTTGCATTCTGGTAATAAGTTATTGAAAACAGACTTAATCTTCCTGGCAAATATCAAATCTGCAGGCGGCATTCCAGACACGGTGTTCAGGTTTGGTGTTATTCTGTAAACACTCAGAAATTGCTGAATCATTACTTCATCTGACCCTTCTCGATACAGGATCTTGTTGTCACTTTCGTAATGCTCATTGTAGTAGAAACTTTGTAACGCCGTTGAACAGTACTGGTGTCAGACGCCTTCGAATAACACTTGCACTAATAGCACTTGCTTGAAAAGTAATCACCAAATAGTGATCCGTATAGTAATCACTTAGATGCCATGCTAATTCCCATATATACATTTCCTTTACCATCACATGATCTACTTATTCAAAATGGGATCACCTTCGTTTGCTCTCTGGTGATCTGTGTTCAAACTCCAGTGTTGGTAGTGATGCTTTATTCCTGTATATCATAATTTTATTTATATATTTAAGGACATTAATAATGATCTATTTATTATGGCTCATATTGACACAAACTACAGCCTCAACTTGACATGTGATTGAGAAATACAACTTAAAAATTGTTACATCCAGAGTGTTTCTGCCATTCCTGTCAACAGGATAAAACTCTTGCAAGTTTTTTGGTTTTCTGTTATAGATTCAAATATTCAAATCTCTCTGTATAGGTTCAATTATGTTGAGAAAAGAAATAAAATCAAGAGTACCAATGTAAGTGGACAAGTGACCAATTTAAAAAGTCAGAGCAAAAATCTTTAGGAAAAATTAAAAAAATGTTTTCCTGATGTTCTAATGAACTGGGTCAGTGTTCAAAATTCAAGGTGAATTTTTCAATTAATAAAAGGTTCAATGCCAGTATTTAAACTGAAATGGAGTGTACCATTCATGGCATTAGGACAAGTAAATGAAGAGTTGGACAGACTAGAAAGAATTGGTGTATTACAGAAAATAAACCATTCGAAATGGGCTGCACCAGCGGTATATGAAAAGAAAAAAATTCATGTTTGTGCAGATTTCTTGACTGGATTAAATAGTTGTCTTGAAACACACTACCAATCCCAGAAGAAATTTTTTCGAAGTTGAACGGTGGAAAAATATTTTCTGAGGTGGATCTCTCTGAAGCATATTTACAAATTTAGATTGAAAATCAATATACTGAATTAATGGTCATAAATACACACAGAACTTTGTTAGTTTAATCTACTTCCTTTTGGTATGAAGATGGCACCAGCTATTTTTCAACAAATCCTGAATACCAAGATGGTGCATTGCGATTTCACAGTGGCATATCTGGATGATATTTTGATCAAGAGTTTATCAAAAGAAGAACATTTTGGGCATGTCAAGACAATTATGCAAAAACTAAAAGAATACAGATTTAAGTTTAGTGAAGAATTGTTTTTGCCAAAAATAAAATACCTGGGTCAAATTATTGATAAAAATGGTAAGAAATCAGATTCGTCAAGAGCAAATGCAATTAGAAATGCCTACAAATGTAACTACATTACAAGCTTTTTTTAGGAGTGGCTAATTATTATCAAATTTATGTACATAGTATACATAATTTGACTGCTCCACTTAACTTTTTACTGAAAAAAGGAGTAAAGTGGAATTGGGATCATAAATGTCAAAAATCTTTTGATGAGATAAAAAAATGTCTTACATCTGATTTATTGTTAGCACACTATGATTCAAAAGCAAAAATTGTAGTAGCATCAGATACTAGTGTTTATGGTGTTGGATCAATGATTTTACACAAATATGATGGTGGTAAAATGAAAGCTTTTGCTCATGCTTCACGCTCACTTCTATCAGCAGAGAGGAATTACAGCCAGATAGAGAAAAAAGTTTTAGCAATCATATTCATTATGAAAAAATTCCATAAATTTACTCATGGAAGAAATTTTGCATTGCAAACAGACCATAAACCATTATTAGTGATATATGGTTCAAAGAAAGTTATACCTACCCTTACAGCTAACAGATTACAGTGCTGAGGTACCATCTTGTTAAATTATAATTTTACGATGGAGTACCAACCATCTAAAAAATTAGGACATGCAGATGGATTATTGCAGTTAATACCTAAAAATGTGGAACCATTGGATGACATGGTTATAGCGTGGGATTGAAATTAAAAACATTCTCTGCAATGTAGTATGGGAATTACCAGTTACACTGGATGAAATTAAAGAAAAAGCAGAAAAGTATGTCTTTATTAAAGAAGCAATTAATAGAAACTAAAAAAGAATCAAGAATGGAATGTGTACTTGATATGTGATGGTGTTGTAATCTATGGACAAAGAATTGTAATACCAAGTGAGTTACAAAATGTATATTAAAGGATTTAATTCCGGACATCCTGGAAAAAAAAAACGTAAAAGCATGTAGAGGTTGTGCTCTAGCAGCAAAACTACCTATCACAAAGATAGAACCTTGGCCAAAGACAGACACTGTGGTCAAGATTGCATATAGATTTTGCAGGTCCTATGGATGGAGCATATTATCTAGTGGTAGTTGATAGTTTTATGAAATGGCCAGAAATTTACAAGTGCAAAAATCTGACATCCTCAGTGACAGTGAATTTCTTAACATGAACTGTTTGTGAGATATGGCATACCAGATACTATAGTACCAGATAATGGAACACAATTCACTGGAAAAGAATTTCAAGACTTTTGCAAGTTATTCTCTATAGAGCATATTACAACCCCACCATATCATCCAAGGCCTAACGGACAAGTGGAACATTGAAAAAAGCAAGTCTGGACAAATTAAATGAGGAGTGTAAAAGTTCAATTTTGAAAGTGTAGCAGTTAACACCTAACCTGAATACATCATGTCACCGGTGGAATTAATGTTTGCCAGAAGAATAAAATTAGTGTTTGACAAGCATACAAGGATGGAAAGGAAACATTGAAGATGGCATAATAGCAACTGGAATCAGAAAATTGGTCTACATGGTAAAAGGAAAAAAATTCCAACATAAAAGGCACCAAAATCAGCTGAAGAAAATATTAACTGATGAAAGACCTAAAGAACTTGTTAAAATGCTGTACAAGATTTTTTGATTTTTATGAAATAAAAATAAAGTAGTAATCTCAAAACAGAGGCTGTTGTGGAGTAAGGAGTACACCCACCGTGACTCTATAAATTGGTCTAATACTATAAAAAGTTCTATGGTATGAAGTTGGGAGTAGTTGCATTTGAGTCAGTTTTCATACTAACTATACAGGTGTATGGCACTAGCCTAAGCATTACATGTAGAGAATACTTTAATGAATTAGGTTATACCAAATACGAGTGTGTGTTATAACAATAACCTTACAATAGGAAGTTATAATAGTTATAAAAGACCATCATGTAACAAGCCAGGAAATTGCTCACAAAGTGAGAATAAGCATAGGATCAGTGCATTCCATTTTAACAAAGGATTTGTGCATGTGGAGAGTGTTTGTGAAATTTGTCCTCAAGGTACTGGTGGAACAGAAGTAGCAACACTGTATGGACATTCTGGATTGTGCAAACTATAAACCAGACTTCATGAAGACCATCATTACTGGTGATGAGACATGTATTTATGGTTATAACCTGGAAACCAAGTTCCAGTTCTCTAACAAAGGCCCAAAAATGTGAAGGAAATGTTCACCTGTTTCTTTGGCTCCCATAGCATTGTGCATCATGAATGCACTCCACTGGGCAAAGCAATCAATAAGGAATACTACCTGGAGGTTATACATCGTCTTCATGATGTTATGAGTCAAAAGTCGTCAAACGTGGGCAGCAAAGAATTGGCAACTTCACCATCACAATGCGTTCATTCATTCCTTCCATATAATCCACATTTTCCTGGTCAAAGAATAGCATGCCACTTGTTTGATAGGATCCTTATTCACCCAATTTGACATTGCGTAACTTCTGGCTCTTCCCCAATCTGAAAACCACACTGAAAGGGAAGGGATTTGAGTCACAAGAAGAAATTATGAGAAAAGCGATGGCAGAACTCCATGGTATTCCAGAGGTGTTCAGGAGTGTTACCAGCTGTGACAGAACCATGGGAGAAGTGTGGGGAGTATTTGGAAGGTGATTAAATAAAATTAGTGAAATGTACAAAATTGATTTTTTTATTTTTTTTATTATATATACCCAAAGGTCAAATACTTTTTGAACACTCCTCATACCTCATATATGTAACAACTATTATGGGACAGAGATAGTAACTCTATTCAACAGATATCCTTTACTAAGTATCTCATTACAAAAGCATCCAGAAAGAGTTATGGAAAGAAATTTTATTCTGTCAACATTACATAATTTCTAAATTAGTAATCTTTTGTTTTTTCTTTTAAGAGTATATAATTAATTTTTAAAGATATTCTATTACAGCTTATTTACATTTCCTTTTAGTATTGTTTTATCTTTCTTTAATCCATTTATATAATTGTATTTACATTTCCTATAATAATAAATAATTATATACAATACCAGAATTACAAAACCATTAATGTATATTTTTCCTTTTAGGTAAGAGGGTTGGATGGTGCTTATGCTATTGGTCAACTTTTGAAATCTCGTCAAGTAAAGCTTGAATATCTCCTTGATGAAGGTCTTATGGTCACTAATGGTTTAGTGAAAGGAACTGATAAGCCAGTTGCAATGTGAGAGAATATTTATTACTTACAATTGAATTCATGTGAAAAACTGTATTTTAATGCACAATTAAGTGTTTATGTCCAAGACACTTTTAAATTATGGTCACTGACATTAGTAACCGATTTTAAATGCAGTTAAAGACAGTAAGAAAAGAAATTTAAAGCAACTTTTGTGAAAAATTAGTTTATTAAAAATCTTTATTTTATAACTGGTGTATTTTCATTGCTGATCATTTACTTATTGATTTGTATCATTATGGAAATTTTAGGCATTTACATTAGTATGAAAATAGTGTCTGTTTCTCACACATTTCTTTGTTATATGAACAAACAAAGAAATTGTTTGTATATTTTTGTAATTTAAAAAAAATTTCTTTGATGTTTTCTTTTACTTTAATTATGATATTGAGTGATGAGAATTTGTATTGATTTTATTGATATAAAATTTTATTATTTGATAATTATCTGTCTAACAAATTGTAATTTATTTATAGAATTTACTTTGGGCTTATGTTGCAGATAGTTTGAAGGATTGTCACTAAGTTTATATTCATGCAATAATGTTATATAATGTTTTTTTCATGAAATTTAACATAAATAACTACAAATATAACTAGAACCATGTTTAATTTCATTAAAAAGATTTACAGTTTGACAAGTATTATGGTGCTAAAAAGTGGTCATTGTTTTTCAGACAATTTTATATGTTCAAGATTTATTAGAAATATTGACTCTTGCTTTTAAGAATGAGTGCACAACAAATATTTAGTATTTAAAAAACTTTCAACATAAACATTTGTGGATTTTTGCCTTTGGTCTGAGAAATATTGTTAATTCGCACAATTTCAACAATATAATTATTATTAGGTTGGTGCAAAAATAATGTCGTTTTTTGAAGTTCAACTTCAAAAGAGAAAACGACATTATTTTTGCACCAACCTAATATATACTTTGCTGTTTGGACCAGTATCCTTATCTTGGTTATTATAATCACAACATTTGGGCCATTGTACCTTTTGACATTCTTTAGGTATCTCTCTTTTATTTGGTAACTTTATTGAAATTTCAAATTGAATTCTTTATTCAATCCATGGCAGTAGCTTGTTTTCATTTTACTTTCCATCCTTAGTGATTACTTAAAACTCACCAGTCATATTCACCTTTGTATTGCTTGTTCATTTCTTTCACTTTCACAGAGTATGTGACTTTTTCAGCACTAAAAGACCCTTGGATTGAAGTCATAGCTACTAGGAAACCAGATATGTTTTAATCAAAACTTTAATCCACAATCCAATAGTTTAGTTTTAGAGTTTAAACCTCATGTCTGTACTCAGATGGCAGAATTGAATGAGTGTCCAGACTCATGCATGGATAGTTTTTAAGTGTCCTTTCTTTCTTAGTCAGAGGCTCTCAGATGGTATTCACCACTATACTAGCTCAACTGAGGTTTTCAAGAATTATTTGTATTCTGTCTCATGCAATTTTAACAAGGAATACAATGGAGAAATGAACCATCCTTCTAAAAGAGTAGAGGAACATTGAAAGGCTGTAGTTCAGAGTGAGACATTGAAATCAGGCATGGTTGATCATGTGACAAAGTGGCCTAGTGAAAGAAAGTTAAATGTCAAAAAATATTAGCTGGAAATAGTCTAAAAAATTAGAGGATAGAACAATAGATATACTGAGAAAAGCAGCAAAAATATTTTTCTCTTGTTTAAAAAGAAAGAAAATCCTATTTTTATTTTCCTTTCTTCCTGAAAAAGCCGATAAAAAGCAAATGATATTTCTTTTTGTGACAACCACCTGGATAATTTCCACTTTGAAAAGTATGTGGAATTATTATGGATTTCTTAAGATAAAAGCCTAAAGATAACTTAAGGATTTTATTAATGACCAGTCAGGGAGAGATGCCAATTGATCCTGGGAAATGTACTTCAATTATTTTAGGGTCAGTGCAGACCGAAAGTGGTTGAATTGTGCATCTGCCCTGTGCCAAAAGAGGTCACACTATGGCAATAAAAATGAATTTTAAAGATTTCCCCAACCAATAAATATAGCAGATGTGAGATTGTTGACAATCCTAAAGAGGCGGAAAGTTTGTGTAAACAAGCCCCTAAGCTGAGATTTTCTCTTTTGCTGGGAAAGATGAATAATTTGAAGATTTTCCAAACCATAAAAATCACAAAAGTGAAGTTGTTGACAGTCTAAGAAAAGATACGATGAATAGCTGCTGAAGTGAGGCCTGACAGGTTAGGTTGAAGGAGGAGTTAACTCCACCCAGTCCAGTGGTGGTGTAAGCAACAGTTCAGTGGAAGTGGCAGATATGAAGAGGCCTGATGGAATGTTCTCAGGTGAAAGATAGAAAGAGTTGTCTCTGTTGACTAAAGTACTAGTGAGAGATATGGCTCTGACGAAGTGGGAGTAACAGGGAGGTGCAAATCCTGTGCACACTCCTTGCAGCATGAGGTAATTCCCAAATTTGGAAATCATAATACCTTGCAAGTAAATTCTAAACAAAGAAATCTTGTTAGAAGTGCATTAATTAATTAAGACACTTGAAGAAAACCCCACTCTACTCCAGCTCAGAGTTAATCCATAAAAGTAAGATGCTTGGGGTGTTTTAATTCAGAACAGTGGGAGTACAGACAAAATAGTGACAATAGCCAGAACAGTTGGACAGAAAAAGAACAGTTGAGAACAGTGAGAGAGTTGAACAGTAGTTGCAGTGAGAAGTGAGGTCTGAGAGACAACCAGCCAGACCCAGACTGCTGCAGAAAATTACAAAACTGGAGAGCAAGTGCCAACAAGTATTTTACTACCAAAACTTACCTGACCTACAGATAGATTGTTTTTAGCAAAGTGAAAGCCATCGAGCCTCTAATAGTCGTGTGGGAAGGGTTGAACTCTATTTGTATTCTAAATTTATATAAAATTGTTGGATTTGATTAGTGAGTTCCCGTTATCATTCCTGTTTAAATGTATAATTATTTTTTATTTGTGTAACCAGCACCATGGTGATTTGATATGTCTAATTCCTGCAGGGTTCAATCTACAACACCCTGAAATCAAAAATCACATGGCAAGGAGGTTGTGGATTGAACGACCAGTGACCAGGTTTTGGACTGGAGCACTGAGGTGATGGGTTATAATCATACATGGGGGGAAATGTGGAATGAAGTAAAGATAATAGACAGAGAATTACACTAGAAGATAAGGTAAATGAAGCATTCAGCACACATGCTAGGCACTGATACCTTCCTCAGTCAAACTAGCATAGACACAGATACCATCTGGAAAGAAAGGACACTTGAAAAGATTCCATATATTAGCCTGGACACTCGTAGAATTCTACCACTTGAATACAGATATTACAAATAAAATTAAACTTGGATTGTAGATTAAAGTTTTGATTAAAATATGTCTTGTTTCCTAACAACTGTGAGTTCAATCCCTGGGTCTGGTAGAGCTTAAATGTCACAAACTTTGGTTTAGTGGAAGAAACAGACAAGTGACACAAAGGTGAATAAGACTGGTGAGTGTTAAATGATATGAAATATCCTCTAAGCGTAGAATAGTGAAAACAACCTATCCCACTGGATTGAATAATGGGTACATATCAAAATTCAGAGGTTTATCATGTATGAAGACTGACGTCTGTAGAAGGTTGTTGGATGCAGCAACTGAAATTTTGTGTGTAATAACCAAGATGAGCATACTTGCACACACTGTAAAAGAGGTAAATTCTCCTGAGAGCTCTTCTACTATCAAACTTTATATACAATTCATATTAATTAAATATATTTCTTTCAATATAAGGTGATTCTGTGAATGGAAACTGCATTCACTGTAAATGTTTTACATTTGAAAAAGTTTCTATCATTTTGTATCCAGTTTTACTAAAAATGTGTTTGAGATGAGTTCAATTTTTGGATTTGTTTTTGTTGCATATTTTAGGATTGGGGTTGTTGAGAAAGGTCAAGCAGTAGTTGTTCTTTCAGTAAATGGGACACCAGGTCATTCATCATTCCCACCATTTGAATCTTCTATTGGGATCCTGTCTGCAGCTGTAAATAAGTAAGTAATTTACCTGTAGAATAAACACCAATATAAAACTGGCAAAAATGTCAATTATTTTTTGTGTATTAAAAGACACTGGCGATAAATGAAATAAACCCTACACACAAGCCGTCAATTTGCCACTGGGTGGCATACTGCTGGTGGCCTGCTGCCAGGCTGCTGGCATGTTTTGTCTCAGCAATATTACCAATGGCGGACCACTAGAGGCCCACCAGTGGCCTGCTGGTGGCTACCACCAGAGGACTGCTGGCATTGCCACTAGCAGCTTGCCAGCAGGCCACTAGTTGCTTGTGTGTTGGGAAATTATCTTGATTAATGCATTTTGTTTATGTACTAACATACTAAAATGTGCTAAATAAAATGTTAGTTTATTAAACTGTAATATTCTATAAAAAAATTATTTTGTCATCTTCTGATCCTTTCTCCATAACCTTTACTATCATATTATGATAATATTACTTTCATTCTGTCATCTTGATTTGGAAACAATATCTATAAAATAGTCAGTTATGTGCCATCTGTGATACACACTTAGGCAATCATGTATCTGTACATGACTGATGAGGCAGATTTTTTTCCCGCAATAGGTTGCCATTTCTTTTTGTAGTAGACCAGTTGCCATCCAAAGCTATAGAATTCGGTCTGTCCTGCTATTTACCCATAGCTGGATGGAAAAAGAGGAGGATTCATACATTTCCTAAGGGTATTAGCACGTAAGTGAAGGTAATGGACTCAACTGGAATTCAAACTCAGCTCTCCAATTCCGATTCCTCAATCTGAGCCACTATCCATTACCCCACCATGCCTTATAGTACAATTATATAACTGTGCAATAATCTTTTCAAATGCAGCATTATATTATTTGCATATTCTTTGTTGGTAAAAATAATTAACAATTTATCCATGAAGGTATCTTTCATCAATAAAAATAGATGACTTTTTTTTCTTTTTTTAACAGAATTGAAATAACTCCACACCCAAATAAATTTGGATCTGGTGCTGAAAAAGCTACTTTTGAACACTTAGCACCTGAGGTAAAAAGATTAAAAACATTTAAACAATCTCAGTAGTAATATTTAGTATAAAAATGTTTTCTAATGAGGATGTGGTATTGGTATGTCACAGAAACTGATTTTGGGAAGACTTAACTAATCTTTAGAATTTGCTTAATGCTAAGTGAATCTTACAATGTTACAGCCAAGAAAAGCCAAAAAATATATCAATCAAAATTTTGTTTCAATAACAACAAAAATGAAAATGTTAGTCTGAAAATATATATAGAATAATGAATATGTTTAATTGCAGGACTTCAATAAACATTATTGCTTTAGTTGTTTTGAATGGCTGTTAACTCTTTCAGGTTCTTGTTGGTTTCATATTATAAAATAACAGGCATTGTAAGAGTTAAGCTGAATTTTAAAATCTGTAATTTTGCATGATAATTCATTTTATTGATTTACTTTATTTATCTTTCAGCTCAGCCTACCATACAAGATATTATTAAGCAATCTTTGGTTATTTAAGCCTCTTGTAGGTTGGTAAGTAAACAGAATTTTGTCCCACTTCATCCACCGCTGTTGTTTTTAATTTTTAGTATCACCAGATATTAGTACTCAAATTCTTTGTAAATGTAATTAGAATGGCATGGTTTTAAATATGTTAATAAATATAGATTTTTAGATATAATTTATGCTTTATACTGAATTAAATTTTTAATATTCAAAGTATTTGAAAATTAATAAAACATTGCTACTTCATAACTCAAGAAATCATCCATATAATAAGTTGAATTTTATGAAATAACCTACTGAACAGTATTAATATTCTGGTATGTTCTAGAAAATTATGAGAAGATGCTTGAAATTCCACAAATCTTCAGACTAGTCAATCTGAAAGCTACAGATATCAATTGTGATCTTTCAATTTTGTCTTTTTTTATTTTCAGTTGATTTGGATCACATTTAATAATTGTATTTAAGAAAGTAACAAGTATTTGTGGTGATATAAATTATACTCATCAATTTATATTAAACTAAGGAAAATTTTAATGTTTAAAAACATATTTGATCCTGATCAGTGAGGATAGAATTGTAATCCTGATGAATATTATTGATCTGCATTTACTTGATATTTCAGTTAGTGTAAAATCATTAATTTATTTAAACTTAAGCATTATGAGGTTCCATTTATTTAATTCATTATATTTTTCATAACTTTTTTTTGTAGGTTTCTTTCTCTAAAACCCAATACAAATGCCCTTGTAAGAACAGTCAGTGCAGTGACTCGCTTTGATGCTGGAATCAAGGTAAATTTAATTTAAAATATTGTTATGAATTTACAGAATAAAATCTATCTGTATAAAACAAAATTTATTATTTTTGCATGATAATGCATCATTTTTCTCATTCATCATCATCAATTCATTAGCCAAGATCAAAGATATTAAGAATTTTTTCATACACAAATTATTCCATACCTAGTGGGACATACCTAGTGGGACATACCTAGTGGGACATACCTATGTTGAAACTGTTCCTGTTCTGGTCAATTTAGAGTGAATATAAGGTGTACCCAGAAAAAATGTTACCAAAAATGTTATATTATTGGAAGTGGAATTTTATATCCTGCAAGAAAATAAAAACTCCTCTCTCATCCACCTTTGGGAATATTTTACGTCTGTTTTTCTGAGCAGCACTTTCTTTGCAAAAACAGGTGTTATAAGGTGAAACATGGTTCTTAGCCACTTGAGTAGTTTATACTTGTAGGTAGTTTTCATGCACAGGTCATTGAGAATGTGTCTTAAAAGTTATTTGAACATTATGATGTCAATTTCTAAAGATGAGGTTATGTTTCTTGATTGTGCAATGTAATCTATAACATCAAATTTTTAAAAATCAGATAGTATCAGCTAATAGATAGCATTCAAGGGATAGACTTATTTGAACTGTATGGTTTCAGTAAAGTGAACAGCCAACTTTGATCCATGAATTCAGGAGTAAATTACGAACAGCAAAATTATGGCTGGCTTACATTAGGTACATTGACATGCTTAAGAACAGGAGATTGGAATTTGCATCATGTGGTGGTTGGGTGAATGCTATATTTGCAGCAACTGGGCATTTCAGCTATGCAAAGAGCACACACTTGTACTTACAATAGCTGCTAGAATTGCCTGAAAAGCATCCTTGGCTGCATTAACAGTTCTCAGAGTACGGGTTTCATTCTGTGTGACGTAATGACCATTACTGGGCCAGCTTGTCACCTGGCCTCATTATTGAACAAGTGATAATGAAAGCCAAAAAGAGCAGAGGTGGGCTAACTAGGGAATGAGGGTTTATGGAATCAGTGAGATTGATGTGGGTGTATAGCATGCACACCTGCACCCAGGTGTATGATGCAACTTACTTGCCCACTGAACTAGTAAGCAGCACATATAGCTGATTAGTGCATGTTAGAATAGATCTTGTTGATATGACCTGAGCTTTCAACTGGCTCTCTAGACACAACCCGTTTGACCCAAGTCAGCCAGAACTACAATCAGTATCATCTGGTTTGACAGCATCTGATGGTGTTGGAATCAACTGTGATATCATTGAGGGACTGGTTACTCTATCCAGAAGAATCTTGAAAATGTGAATGTTTTAGAGAGTTCACTGAAAAGAAGTTCTCAAATGTGGTCACATGTTGAGCTGGAAAAATGTGTAAAGATGGTCAAAATTTTCATGCTGACTCTAATGCTCTGTTTTCAAGGGCAGTTGTTCTAGAAAGATGCAAGTGAAGAGGTTGCTTAGGGTGACATACAGTGATGTGGTACCTGATCTATGTGAAGGCCAAGTATGGGCCATCAAGCATCATTTTTTATGGTTATGCAGGCCTGTCTATAAAAACCATGAATATCAGCGAAGAGCTGCTCGAACTTCTACTAACATACAAAATGAAGATAGATTGCAAGTTGCTGTTCATCAAGAGCTCTTTCTCTCAAATGAGAAGAACAAAGATCAGTTTGTCAAGTTATGTCATTCCTTGGAAGCAAACTGTATTTGGATGGTCCAAAGTGAGGGAGACACAGATATGGACATTGTTTCTGAAATGCTCAAACTAGCTACTGAAGGAAAATCTAGTGACTGATGACACAGAAATCCTTATTTTTTTTACTTTTCCACTTTTCCCCTGACATGTCTGACATCTATATGCTTTCTGAGGGGGAAATGTTTTGGCAAAAGATGAAGAAGCTTCTCAGCATCTGTGAAATCACAGAGGAGACAAAGTCCTACATTCTCCAAAATTTGCCAGTCATTGACACATGAGGTGGATATGACTCAATATCAGCTGTATTTGGGTATGGGGAAATGTGAGATAATGAGGCTTATTCATAAATCAAAGGAGATCCAGTCTTGTTACACTACTTTAGCCAATCCAATTGCTTCTGTCCAAGTTGCATCTGTGGGGTCACAGATTTTTGTCAAGATGTATGGAGGAAAACCAGGCGATACATTGGACTCCCTCAAGTACATCAAGTATATGGAGTATGCCGCAACATCAATGAAGAAGTTACAGCCTGAAAGACTGCTCCAACTGAACAGTCAACTTTCTTCAACAGTCACTGTGTCCATCTTCAATGATTTGGAAGAATTTAGGTCATTGCCAACTTGATCTTAGCAGCTGGATTTGGGAAATGAGAAATGGTACTTTAGCCCTAGTTCTTACCAATCTAGATCCTGCTCCTGAGAAACTACTGAGATTTGTGCATTGTAAGTGCAAGATTTTGTCCAAGAGTCCTTGCAGCACAAATATCTGCTCTTGCTGGAAACATGGTCTCCCATATGTAACAGCATGCAGTGATTGTAGAGGCACTGATTGCAACAACATTAGTCTGGCTCTACAATAAGAACGAATGGGAGAATGATGTTATTTGAATGTTTATTTTGAGTTATATCAGGCCATTTACATTATTCTGTTTGCTATTTTGGTGGCAGTGCAGTTGGGAACATTTCAATAAGTGTTTGTGGTATCTTTTTTGATGAAGTGCTATTTTCTGGGTCTAGTATATTTTCAATAGTGTTTGAATTAAAGATTTCAAATTTTATAATTTTTTGTTTTTTGTACCTGGGTTTACATTTTTAGCAGCCATCAAAAAGATATGAAAACATATATACACTTTTTTAATAAGCATTTCCATTGTCAGGGTGAGCCATCAGTTTGTTTAGCAAAACAGGACTTTGCAGTCAGTTGCTTGATGTAATGAGTTATTTCTATGTATTTGTTTTCTTCATTCTCTAGTAATACCTTGCTTGTAGCACACAAGACTATCAAGTCTTTTTTGAATAGGTCCTATGTTTTACTGAGCAGATTGCCAAAATGGAAGTGGCCAAAATGAAGGTAAAATTATGCTGCCAATTTGTCTCTATTAATAACACTTATAACCAGACAAAATTTCATGTTCTCAGCATCAGTGTGTGTTCCTGAGATATAAAACTTCCTTGTTGTCTGGTCTGCAAAACAGATATCATGTGACCATCTTGAAAGCTTCACACAGTGAGAGCAATGTCTGAGAGCAACATATAGGTTGATCAGAAGTATTCTAAAATATTTGCTTGACTGTCACCTCTCTCTTTCCATCCATAAACACTGTTTTATTTGTCAAATTCAATTTGACAGATCAATTATTGGTCTGTAAATTGTGAGTCTTTTGTCAGTATTTCATTCATTAAGAAGCATATAGAGCTGGTAGTTCTTTGTTTTGTATTATTTTTTTTATGTTATCTACTGTTTCACTGCTATATACATGACTACAAATATAATCTCATAATAGTGAAATATGGCTACATTTTACTTCAGGTTCATTATTTCAGATCTGGTTTGCCCATAACTAAATTTTTCTAGGTGGTCCAAATGAAGATTTTTCAATTTTCACAAGAGGATACCTTTCTAAAAATACTATATTTAGCTTTCCTGATGAACATTGATATTGACCAGACTATTATGCCTTACTTTTATTGGGCAGCTAGTCTTTCCATTGTAATCTCTGCCTCGACTGCATGGAGTGGTGTAAAAACAGTTCTTGGTTATTTTCTTTCCAGAAGGAGTTTTAATATCATGATATATCTGCATAGCATAGGTTTACTTTTGAATATTGTCCTAAGGATCTAGGGATGACATATTTTTGGAATCTCCTCTGCTATAACCCTGATGCCTAGTACAATGGCTGCAGACATTTTGTTATCGTTTTTTAAATATGTGTGTTTGCTGGTGGCTGTTGCTGGAATTATGTTTGTAATATATTTCCAAAGAAAAAATTGTGTGGTGTAGTTTAACAAAGTCACTGAAAGGGTCCAGGAAAAGAAAATCTTCAAAACACAAAGACATAATCACCAGATGTGATATGAATGAGAGAAAAATATTATGCCTTCCATAACACATTAAACAAATTAGGAAGGCCATAAAGTATGTGGATAAAATGAAGCAAAAGTATAAAAATGAATCTTAATTAACTTATAATTACAATATCTGAAAAAAATTCAGACAAGAAATGATATAAAGACTATATATCATTTATTCTCATTTGATCATATTTAATAAAAATTAATCATTTTGTTTATACTAAAACATATTTAATTTAAATTTATTTATAATATATATTAGTATTATATGTCATAATTAACATAGCCTACAAAATAATTGGCTGCTCAATGCCCTCCTTGGAGGATATTTCTAATTCTCATTAACACAGTAGAGTAGACAACAATGAACCAACTGCATACATCTCAGGTATGATTTGATTGAACTTGATTCAAGGCAACATTTTAGTTCTATTAGTTCTAGGACAAAGTTATTGAGAGATAGTTTTTATCTGCATAAAATGAATGCTGCCACATGTTAATAATTTTAAATGTATTTTAACATTTAAAATTGTGTTTTGGGGTGGGGTTGTGTGTGTGTCCAATTTCATTGTGCATTGCACAATGACAAAGAAGAAGAAATAAATAAATAATATCCTAATTTTTTTTCTGTCTGGCCTTCTTGATTTTGAGTTTTTCACTACATTATGAATTAAACAATTTGATAGTTACAAATTTATACATATGTGCATCATTAACTACTCATTGTTTACTTTTGTTGTTTGAACATAACCAAATGATATTATGTTGGCCCTCAAAACCTCAAAATAGTGAATCAGTTTTTAATAATTATTACTATTAAGAGCTGATTTAAGCTAACTTCAATAGCCTTGATCCAGAATGCATTTTGTGACATTTTATTTTGGTGAAATGTAAAATCAACTGCAATAATTTAAAAAAAAATCTCAACAGATTTGAAAATTGAACAATTTTCCTGTGTATTTTATAAATTGTGTTTATTTCAGTTTTTTATCCTTTTTGGTAAATTAATATTATTTTTTAAAATTTATTTCAAGGATAACATTGTCCCTGCCTTTGCTCAGGCTGTTGTCAACTATCGCATTCATCCTTCTGAATCAGTGAAAGAGGTAATAAAGTAAAAAAAAAAATTTTTTAATTTTTATTCTAATTATTTTTCAATTACTCTTTGTCTTTAATCATTGTTTATAAATTTTGAATTCACTTTAGTTTCAATCATGACATTTTTAAGAATATCAGCATATTGTTATCTGCTGAGAATTATCATAGAATGAATTGTACAGGATTTATTTTATTTGTAGTTTGATTCCTTCAGTTCTGGTGGATCAGGCTTGTGCTACATACAGTATCATCCACAAATAAGTATACTCCTATCACTTTCTTTTTTTAAAATAGAAACTTATCTTGCAAACCAAAGGTTCTGTAACTCCTAGTGTAATTTCTAATTTACATAGTCAAAACTAATATTATTAGGCATTATATATGACAAAACTCTTCAATCTTGAAACTCTGCTGCCAAAGATATGACTGTTGCTGTCCAAAAATTAGTATATCTCTAATGTAAAAAATTAATTTCATTCTATATAAGTGTGTTTTTATCCATTTTTCTAACAGATTTAAATAATCAACTTTATAAACAAAATGGAAGAAGTTGACTCAATTATGGGTGATAAGTATTCAACTGAATGCCTTGATAAAACAATATTACTTTTTGACAATATTAAGTGAAGAAAGCAAATGGAAAAATTTCTAAAATGAGAGGGATGAAAAGAAGACAGGGTTCAGCAAAAATACATCCCAGAAATACATCCAACATCATATGACATTAGCTAGATGAAGTCTATTGCTACTAATGTCTTATCATTATGTGGGGAGTATTTCTACTGCACCTTGTATTTAATAATAATGATTTTTTGTAACAAGTTTAAAGCATATCAAATATATCATTCTTAACTCACAGACAGTTTAGTAGTAAATACTAATTTTTTATATGAATACTTTAGAAGGTAAACTATGACCCATTAATATTTAGAAAGGACAAATTATAATTCCCTCTAGACAAAAATTTATGATATATAAAAATATTTTTGTTGGATCAACAACTGACTTTTTTCTTTTTAAAAATTAAAGCCAATTGGCACCAAAACACTTGCTTGTAATATATTTTAAATTTAATTTTGGATACATGAAATTTAATAACAGAACTAATTTTCTTTCAGCATACATGACAACTGCAAAGGTACAATGATTTAAAGAATAAACAGTTGATTCAGCATTTAAAAATTTTTTGTTTAAATCTAATGTACAATTTTTAATCTGCAGCACACAGATTTACAAGTTTAATTCGAATATAAACAGTTGTGAGCTCATTTTAAACTTAGATCTTATTAAAATTCATGAAGGCACCTTTTAATCAGGTGTGAAAACACAAAAGCAAAATTCCAAGAAAGAAGAAAATTCATTATTTTAAATCATAAAAATATTGTAACATTTCTTGAAAGGAAACAATTGAAGACTTTAAAAACTAAATTATCAAATTTATATATTTCCTCAAATTACAGTAAGCTGCCATTTTATCATTTTAAGTAATAACATCATAATTTCATTTTAGTACTTTTTTCTTTCTCGGCATAAAAAATTGATTTTTGCAGTCTTTCAAAGAATTAAAATGAAAATTTTGTAGATACCAAAATAAATTTTAACCCAAAATTACAACATTTGCTGAATATGACAGATGAGTGAAAACTTCTCAGCTAAACTGTAACAATTTGTGCTTAATCACCAAAGAAACATGAAGTCTAACTTTATTTTAACTAAATGCCCATACTTTTCTGAATCTATTTAATCAATTACCGCCCTCATTTTGTTAATTAGGGTCAGTACTTGTTCAAATGAATCATTTGGTTTTGAAATGTGCTCATAGTAGACTACTTTCTTCCAATCCCATCACATACACAGCATCACATACTTTGTATGAAAACTGAGCTAAAGCTAAAGTTCAGCTAGTGATGGTTCATTTTGTTTGCCTGTCATTGTAAAATATCTACTGTCAGAATTTGATTTGCATCTAGAACATTTGTTTGTGTGAATTTACTACTCTCACAATGTCATCAACTGCATCCCATATTACCTGGCATTTATTCTGATTTGTACAAAGTGGCTTGTTGTTCTTCATGTTTGTCTATTTTGTCAAGATGGCAACTGGAGTAGTTGAGGAAAGTTGCAAATTTGATTGGGTCTTCTTTTTGTCTTGATGTCCAAAACAGAGTTAAATACAAACAACAAAGGTCACTATGAGCATGCAGATCACAACTGCTTGTAACCCTGAGTAAGGCTCATTATATTAGATTTTCAAACACAGATATAACTATCATAAATCCTTCCTGTTATAATTTTAATTCCCAAATTTCCTTATTAGGTTTGATTGTTTGACTATAGCCTAAAACATTTATGGCCTGATTTCTGGTTATCAATTATATGACTTTTTTAACATCACCAATTACAGTCAATTTTATTGCTCTAAACCTGGTCCCTTTCAGTGGTTCAGGCACTTTTCTTTTTGGTAAATTCACAAACCCTACCTTGAATTTTGCATTTTTATTTATCTATTTCTTTCCTTATCTATTTTTTTTATTTTCTTAACTAAATTCCTTCAAAGTGAAGAAAATAAAAATTAATTTTTCTAACACATCCCAAAATACCACACAGCTGCTATTTGCTTGTAAAATTCTATAGAGGAGTTTTATTTTGTCACAGTTGTATAACATTGATTATTCTCAAGCAACATATTGCTGAAAATTTTGCTTATTTTCTTCTATCTTCAATGTTAACACAATTTAAAAATATATATATATGCTGAATTTGTCAGCTGTCCCAATTTAATCAAAAGCAATCTTTTTGAATGAAGTAAATTAAAACTAAGGGCTCCTCATATCATCCAGTGAGAAAAGTTAAACTTTTTAGACAATCTAATAATTAAAACTTTAATTATTTTAGAAAGAAAATGCTAATCAGTTTATAAACTATTGAAATAATAACCATAATTAACATAAGTACATCATAAAATATGTATTTTTATTTTATTTTACTATTATTTGAATTATTTAATGGCATTGTTGAATGATTACCTTTTGTTTTTATTCTCTTATTTTTCCCATAAATTTCAAATTCTAAATGATTTTGCTTTTTGCTTAGGTAATTGGTTTTTGTAGAAAGATTATCCAGGATGAAAGAGTTCAATTGAATGTTAAATATTCAATGGAAGCCTCATTTACTTCACCTTTTGGAGATGACAGTTTTGGGTATCATACAATTAAAAACAGCATCCAAGAGGTGTTTGAGAATGTAATTGTTGTACCTGGTAAGTAAGTTAGATTAGAAAGTGGAATTACAATGTTTCTCATTTTATGATTTTGGAAAGGGGTACAACATGGTCTGGGGTTCTGGTGATTCCCCTAATTACCAACAAGGGCTCATTATTGTCTGGTCCTGGAAAATTAATTATATGCCTAATTCTGGGGAGATCCCCCCCCTTCCATAATTAGTGCTCACAGGATATCGATCTACCCTAACTCTTTTCTTCTCACCAATACTTCGCAATGGGTGTGGGCAATTCCTCCACCTTCCTTGATATTTCACCTATGCCCATCACCTTGTCTACCCTTCAATCAATCTGGCTCTTGACTGCTTGGCATGGCTTAACTTATGATCATTAATTGAAATTATCATTTGAAATTTTGCCTGGTTTTGCTTAAAAATCAGAAATTTACCAGCTGATTCCTCCGACCAGCCATCCCCTACAAACCTGCCAGAGTCACTGCACTCCAAACATCCTAGGTTACAGAAAAAAAAAAACCTCTCTTCTCTAGATTTGGTTACAGATCAAATCTTATCTATCCTACTTATATTGTATTTTTGTAACTGGTGCCACTCGTGCTGCCTCATTAACCAGCTGTCAGCTTCTTTGTCGTAATATTACTTTCCTTCAATAATTTTTCTGTTTTTTTTTTTCTTAAATTTAGATTTTCTCTTCTGGAAAAGAGAAATGTTCCTTTTTTCTCTCAGTCTGTCTATCGTTCTATTCATTAACCCTTCTCACCTCATTTCTGTGTTGGAATGTGTCACGAAAAATAAATGATTTCGTCTCTTTCTCTCCTGCCGTTGTAGCGACGGACACAGTCTCCACTTCTGAGGCTGAAAACTGCCTTTCTTCTCATTCCAGCCCTTTACATAGAACTTGGTAACTCACCTATGCAAAACACTAACAAGCCAGCTACCAATCACAGTTCCCGCACCTGCCCACCTCCACTCGCTTTGGGGGTTTCAAGTTGACCGACCAACTCATTACAATTTCGAGCTATGTTTTTGATTTAACTCCTTTCTTTCCATTCACCAGTGTCAGTGTCACACTTAAACATAGTTTTCCTAACTAATTAAGTAACATGGAGACTGGGTCTAGCTAGTTGAACATATCACTAAAGTCATAGATGGCACAATATTAGCCAATCACTGTATTTCAAAAAGGATCAGTAAAAAAAAAAAACTAAGCATTGCTGTTATTGACTAAGAAATTATGGAAACTTTAGAAGTTGGCATATATATACACATGTAATAAAAGAATTCCATGGATAAATGAAGTACAGAAATTAATGCCATATAGAAATCATTAAACTACTCCAAGAAAATTAGCACAAAACAAAATAAAACCCCAAAAGTGGATCATGATCCATTTATGGCAGTGCTATGCAGCTTACAAACTAACAAAGGATGAAGACTGGTTAAAAATTCCACCTGTAGAAAGAGAGAAAATGAAATGACTGAAACATTATGAAAAAAGCTAGTTCAAAAATTCATTAAATATTCAGGAACAATTTTTCACTCAAGTAAGGAGAAATGATTTAGGTAAAACTTTAATGTCATTCAACAGACTAACTATAACACTTAAAACTTAAGAGAAATATATATACAATTTATTTGTCTTTATGCATACAAAGCAGCATATCATAGACTCCTTATAATAAAATGTCCAAAGTAGAAAATAAAATGTTGATTGCCTGTGAAAACACATTCATTGAAAATTCTAAGCATCCATATGCATTCCTTTTATAATTTTGAGAAATTATAATTCCAAAAGTTGTGTGGAATATTAAATTCATTCTTTAGGTTGCTTTTGCTGTTAATACAACATATACTTGGAGAAGACTTGATCAGCTGAAACACTAGGCTGGCTATAAAAGTAATACAAACATCAGGGGCATGTAAATTGTTTAGATAATTAAATAAAAGTATTCCAAGCACAGCTAAAAAGTAAACAGATTGTTTTTCCTGATACTATCAAGCAACAAACATTCTGAAATAATTTGAGTTTCCAAAAAGAAACTTTAATTTTTCTGAACACTGATTACTTCTATATGATTTTCCCTTAATATGAGTCGAAAATTATTGTCTCTTAATGCTTAGATATGTATACAAATCAGAAAACAAATTAATTAAATTGGTTCACAAAATTCAATAAACATTAATGTTTATTGAATTTTGTGAACCAATTTAATTAATTTAAATTTAAAAGATAAATTATAATTTATCCAAAGCAGGTTTATTTCTGGGTACATTTAACAACTTTATCTGTATATAATCCATTTGTAACATTTACTTATCGTTATCATGAAGATTTTTTTCAATGTTATTTATCCTCCTCATCACATGAATTTTCTGCAAAACTTTAAGTTTCTGATTTTTTCCAACAAATTAACAAAATTTACATTATTTGGACTATTGTCCTCATCTAACTGGATCTAACTATTGCCTTTATCCACTGTGCCATGTATCCTCAAGAACACATGGCACAGTGGATAAATGTGTTAGTTAGATCCAGTGACAGGACCCAAAGAGTGTGAGTTCAATACCCAGTTAAGGCAGTGGAGAACTTTCAGAGGGGAATTAACAGGAGATAACTGATAACTGACATCCATTAAAAATGGCACGTGGAACTAGAACAGTCTACCTTAGTGAGCGAAATAAAGGGTTCAGTTCGACATTCCAACCACCTGAAGAAGGCCGGAGTGTACAACGGCCAAAACATTGTAATAAATATGGCGACATAGGGAATAGTCGAAATAATGTAAATAATGTAAATTAACAAAATCAGGAAATTTTCAGTTTTCATCACAATTGTTTTGTTTTAGCTTTGTCTTTATAGAAAAAAGTTTCTTTTTTTTCCTTTTTTTTTTCTCACTGCCCTTCACCTGATTTATCAAATTTTTGAATTCATTTTAACATTTTCTTTTTGTAGGTGTGATGTTTGCCAATACAGATACCCGTCATTATAAGGAACTAACAAAAAGTATATATCGATTCAGTCCAGGTTATCTTCAACCTGACATGCTTTCTATGATTCATGGATACAATGAAAGAATATCCATTTGGAATTATGAAAAAGTTATTAACTTTTATCATCATTTGATATTAAATTCAGACAAAGCTGATCTCCAGCCACTTAACACACATATAGAATTGTGAATTTTCTCAATGTTTAAATTATTACATGGTAATAAAAATAAAAATTTCATGAAAATAATTGTTGAAATCTATTTCTTCTAATTAAATAAATACCAAATTAAGTTTTACAATAAATATTGAATACATTCAAATAATGTAAATTAAGGACTTTTATGAATTTAATGCTATAATTTCCTCTTCATAGCAAAAATCAATAATACAGTTTTTATAAGACTTTTATCAACAACAATTCTATTTTGTCATTGTTCTGATAGTTTTTAGAAATTCAAAACCATTTAAAGTTTCTGAAATAAGATTTTTCATTTTTATAAAATTTATAATTTTTTGACATTGTTGATATTTTCAGCAACATGATGAATCAAAATTAAAATTTTTGCAAAATGTGCTTTTTGTTAACATATTATTATTAATATATTATTGCTATATATATATATATATATATATATATATATATATATATATATATATATATATATATATATTCATTTCACCCCAAGTAAGAGTGGTTGTTTAAGGTAACTTTTCATTTTGTGATTTGACAAGAAAGACTGAATCAGTTTGAAAATTTGTCCAGAAATACTATAACATTTAAACTTGTGAAGAAGACCAGTATGTCAAATACCTTCAAGATGTCCAATGCAATAACCTGAGATTCATCATTCTTATCTAAAGCTTGATAGACACTTTCAGTAATTATCATTAATACATCAGCAGTTGACCTAGAGATGTGAAAGCCATATTGCTTATTTGAAAGAAGTCCCTGCAAGTTGAGAGATGCTTAATCATTTCAGAGTTGATTAGGGCCTCTAGTACATTGCCAAAAAGAAGTAAAAAGCTAATAGGCCAATATTTAGGATCAGATGGTTTACACGAGTTCTTAAAGACTAAAGCTACAGAAGATTTGCATGAACACACACACACACACACACACATATATATATGTGCTGTATCTTGCATTATTAAGCACTTTTAATATTTTCTAATGAATGGGCCATAGGAATAGTTTCATTATTGATATACAACATATTTGACATTTGTATAAATTATAATAATTTTATGTCATTATTTCTAACTTGGAACAATTTTCCGTGCTTCACATTATTAGCCAGCTTACTGAGACTCCAAGAAACATAATTATAAATTATAAGTACAGAACATAAGCAAAGTTTAAAAAGAACAAAATATTGTAAACAGCATCATGATTATAACAACAAAGTTATAAAGACAACCTTAATGTGAAATGTATGCTATGTGCTTTGAAACTAATTTTAGAAATCTTTTATATATTGATTTTGTGAATTGTTGTATTTCTCCACATAAAAATTGACCTTATTCAGAATAATATTCTAAATTTTGTTTGCTGGTGAATTGCTGTCAGAATGTTTTATAAGTTTTCAGTCAGGTTATGGTCAGGCAAACAAGTCTTTCAAAGCAATGGCTCCATGTGTGCCTTCAAAAAAAATCATTCTATTTCTGAGCTGGAAGGAAAAAAAATGATTGCACCGAACTTCATTTTAAGGCGGATTGTCCATCCAAAAATAAAGTGTTTCCAATGTGGAAGACTGGATTATGGAAAATCAAAGCAAAGAAAAATGTAAGACATTTTAATACAGTAAAATTTGTTGTAGTATCGTATGCAAATTAGATAGACAAGTATAGAGAACAACTGGCGAACATAGGATGGCTATGCCTAGCAAACCCGGTTGCTATTCAGGACACGGAGAACTGTACTACGACTACTACTATGCAGAGAGATATGCAAAACATAACAGTTGTATTGACAGCTCAAAGCTGGATGATGACCAGGACAGAAAATTTGTGAAGGTTAAGATAAATAACGTTGAAATAAGACTTCAATTGAACATCAGTAGCGAAAACTATAATTAGTGAAAAACTTGGAAAATATTGGTGAACCTACATTAGCGAAAACAAAAAACGTTGCACGTGACGTATCAGAAAAAAAAAATGTTTTCTAGATGAAATTGCATGTAATGTCTCGTATGCCGGTAAAACTTTTTAAAGACTTAAGGCATTCGTATTAAAAAAATAATACGTTTAACATATTGGGCGCTTTTCGATTTGTGGAGTCAGAAGGCAAATTCGTTCAGTCAAAAAGTGAAATGCTCCTTCTCTAAAACAAGTATGATGACTATAACTTGTTTATTTCGCCCACAGATTATTATGAGTGGGCAACTCCAACTGTGGATTTAAAAAAGAAAAATAATATTCGTGTATGCGCAAATTTTTCAACAGGGATAAATGATACCTCACACATATCCGTTATCATCCCCAGAATAATTTTTTAATAAACTAAATGGAGGAATATATTTTTCAAAAATTGACCTGTCAGACGCATTCTTACAAACTGAAGTGGATGAAAAATTGTTAACAATTAGCACAAACAAGTGTCTATACAGTTTTAATAGGCTACTCTTTATGGTCAAAGTGTCACCTAGTATTTTCTAGCAAGTAATGGATACGGTGCTAGCTGGCTTAGATTTTGCCGTTGCATATTTGGAGGAAGTACTCATAAAAAGCGAAACTAGACGGCAACATTCAAAACACATACAAGTATTCCCGAGAATAGAGGATTACAGGTTCAAACCCAGTGATGAGAAATGCCAATTTGTTAGGAGCAATATAAAATACTTGGGATAAATAATAGATGCAGATGCGTGTAGGCCAGACAAAACCTATTAAAAATATGCCTGCACCGACAAACGTTGGTACTTTACAATCATTTTTAGGACTCGCAATCTTTATGTGCTAAACATGCTTAAATTGAGAGCGCCTTTAAATAAATAAAAGGATATAATTATTGTTAACGCATTGCAATCCTGATTTAGAAATAATAGTAGAATCATTATTATTATTATTAGGGTTTATGGCATTGGCAGTTATTTGTCATAAATTCAAGCATGATAAAAGCATCTGCCCATGGATATTGTACGCTAATAGCGACTGAAACAAATTATAGTCAAATCGAAAAAGAAGCGCTAGCTATTATTATTGAAGTGAAAAAAATGTTCGCAAAATGATACACGGTAGGGAATTTATTCTGTAAACAGATCCTCGCCCATTATTGATTATTTTGGGTTCTGAAAAGGTATTCCCACATATACAGCCAACAGGTTGCAACGTTGGGGAATTATTTTACTAAACTGAATTTCAGATGGAGTATTTACCATCAAAGAAATTGGGGCATGTAGGTGATTTGTCCAGTTTAATCCCAAAATTTAAGGAGACAGAGATTGCTTCTTTCATTTCTGAAAATGAGATAAAAAGTGTTTTGTGTAACACAATAAGGGAATTACGCGTGACTTTGGACTAAATAAAAATACAATCCAAGAAGGATGACTACATTTTGAAAATAATGAATGACGTAAAAGTGAGATGGAAAGAAAGAAAAATAAATCAGGCGTTAGAAAATAAGTTTTTTTTCCAACTGTGATGAAATACTGTTGCACACTGAAAGAGTAGTAATTCCTATTTTCTTGCAAAAAAGAATTTTAAAGGAGTTTCATGTTGGACATTCTGGAATGTCAAGAATAAAATCCTTTATGAGAAGTTGCGTATATTAACCTAAAATTGACCAGGATATTCAAAATTTGGCTAGGTCGTGCAGAGGTTGTTCTTTAGCGGCAAAATTACCACCTGTAAATTATCAAATCTGGTCTAATACTGATAAACCTTCGCCTAGGTTGAATGTTGATTACACGGGACATTTGAATGATGTGTATTACTTGATTGCCGTCGACAGTTTTTCAAAATGGCCTGAAATATTTAAGTGTAGAAGATGTACTCCCACTATAACTGCAAATTTTCTTCGTGAACCGTTTTCGAGATTTGGAGTTCCAAGTACTATCGTGTCTGATAATGCAATTTTCTTTGACTACTTTGAAACTTTTTGCAAATACTGTGCAGCTGAACCTGTAACAATGCCACCCTAACCACCCAAGATCAAAATGGTCAAGAAGAACAAACGTTCAAAAGGGCTTTAAAGAAATCAAACGTGGAGGAGACGGAAGAAGTGATACTTCAACAATTTTCAAGAATTCATAAACTGACTCCTAACCCTAATACTGCATCGAGGATGCCACCAGTGACAGTAATATTTGCCAGGAAAATTAAATCGGTGTTTGACAAATTATTACCTGGAAGAAAAATAAAAAGTTGGCCTAGTACGAAATTAACTATAAAATCTTTCAAAGGTGAAGATAAGATTTTCTTGAGGATTTACAAGGCAGGAAAGAAGAGGTGAGAAGTTGATGAAATAGTAAATCACATTGGCAGAATGACGTATATATGGTACAAGGTTGAAATTTGCGACATAAAGGTATTTAAACCAATTAAAATCAAAATATACCAAGGGAATAAAAACCCAACAAAGAGATTTATCTATCGAAGTGCGGTACGATACTTTTGATTTGCCAACTCCAATTATAAATACTTGACTACACCGTGTCAAAAAGAGAAATCCAAGTGAAGTGTTGAAAGTGAACACCAAGAGAAGAAAATACATATTCAAAAGAGCTTGCGTATTTTAAAAAGGCGAAGTTGTGTAGAAAGACAACCAGTCTTCTTTACACTAATAGTTGAACATAAACTTGTTCATTCGTTATTTGTAGAACGTCTGCTCATTGGAAAAGTTGTTTCAAAGTGGGTCACAAGACGTAGCATTGTGTTCATACGCATTGCCGCACTGAACTACGGTATTCGCTATAATTGTATGTCTCTCATGTGATTAAACCTTTTCTTCATTAATCTTTTGTTCCAATGTTTTCCTTACAATATTATTAATCAGAAACTACGAGCTTATATGAGCATTATAACAAGGAAAAAACACTTTTTAAAACAACTGTAATCTCAATTTATATAAAGAGCAGCTTTGAAGAACTGTAGCACAATCTATTTTAGCTACAAAATAGCTAGTGTGAGAGAGAAGATGGAAATGTTTGCAAAAATGCATCCAAAAATATCAATCCCTTCAAATGTTATGC